AGCTGAAAATAGGTGAGCTCAACCTGACTTACTTTTTAGCGAGCCAGAAATTTTACAGTTCGTCTCAACCCACCACGGGTTGGTGGGTTAGGTGGGTTGACTCACTAACCCATATTTTTTTAATTTTTTAAATTATATAGAAACTTCAGATGTAGAAACTTATGCTTTCTTCCTTTCTTTCTCAACATCGATATCTTCGTTATTAACTAAAATTGGCTTATTGAGTTTTTCATTAATAATAAAATCATCACCAATACAATTTACATTGACACTTTGATGTATTGTTTCAGATTCCATACTCGTAAATTAATTAGAAAGAAAGAAGTCAAAAATTCATATATTAAAGAGATATATGTATACATCAATAACAAATAACAAATAATGTATAAATGCTACAATTTTCAAATAAAGATTCATCAATCCAATAGTTTAGGTTATGAAACAAATTTTTACCTTTAAAAGCAATACAGTGGACATGATGTAGTGGCGCGATGAAGGACGATAGTAAGACAAGTGACCAAAGTGCAGCGACAAACATAATGGTGTAGCGAACAATTGATAACAAATTTAAGTGAGGGTTTGGCTTGTGGCGACAACCAACAATGTAGGGTAAAGATAAGACAAGATAACATCAATTAGGGTTATTAAAATATTATAATTATTTTTAAAATTAAAAATAAATTATTAATTAAGGTTAGTATGTTATTATAATTATTTTTAAAATTTAAAATTAATGATGGGTTGCGGGCCAACCCACCATAACCCGGCTCAAACCCGTTTAACCCGTGGGTTAAGTGAGTCGGGTTCATTTTTAGCCCATAATCGGTAGAAATGAAAAAAATTGAACCCAACCCGGCTCGAACCCGTGGTGAGTTGGGTTGGCTCACAAGTTAGAACCCATATTGACACCCCTACCCAACACACAAGGCACGACCCAAGAGTTTGATATGGTTACATGGAGAGAACCACAGTCACCCTTCACTCATTCCACTTGGTTGCATATTAAGGAGACTTAGGGGTATATAAACATTTGAGAACTTCTTCCCCATTTCGATATGGGACCTTGGACAAAGCATACAAGAAAGAGAGACATAAGGGCGAGCTTGGGTTGAACCAAAAGGAGAGTTGCATCTTGTCCCAAAGCATAGTCTCAACTAAACATTTTTCCTATCTTAATTTTTGCCACATAAAAGCTAGAAGTCCAAGTTTTATTCTTGGTTGCAACTTTAAAGAGCTATCACATATATAAACACTTGAAGAAAACCAAATTTAGAAAAGATGAGACTTGAAGGGGCTGCACTTAAAAGAAGAGGATAAAGTTCAAGTCTTGGTTGCAACAAAAAGGAAATACATTATTTTAGCTTCTCAAATTCAGTCAAAGTACTCCAAACACTCAAGGAGGTCCAAGATTCAAATCTTGGTTGCAATATTTGAGAATTTTTGGTACATAAACTCATAAATGTAATTAAAAGTAGGTTAGGTGAGACTTGAACCTAGGAACTTCGGTCATCACTTATATAAGACCAAATTAGTCTCACATTCCTTAGATGAGTTAGTTAATGAAAGGAGAACAACTATATATATGACCCCTTGTGTAGCTTTTTGAATCACATTTGAATGAAGTCAAAACTTGTGTGTGAAACTTGCATGTTTTGCTTGTACCCCGAATTGACTTTTCAAGTATCTTTGGAGATTTTTTTTCTCTTATTCTCCTAACAAGGAACTTTCCTTGAAAGAGTTAGTGTCAAGTTTCTTTAGAAACTTGGGAAAAAAAAATTAGTTCACTTTAGGTGGGTGTGCTCAAGGTGTGAGGCTTTTGGTGTCATCCATGGTGGAAGGAGAGAGAATATTTCCACTAAAAAATGTTGAATTTCCTCAAAGCCCAAAAAAGGCCTATAAAGGTAGGATAAATAAGTGACACTAGGGTAAGAGGACACACATGAACTTCCAACTGATAATTTATTCTTTACTAACTTACACATTAGAGTGTCTTTGAGAGAGACATTGACTTCATGTTCAGGACATATTACATCAAGCCTTGAGGCCACAAATATTTGGTGACACGTCATCTGGAGTACGAAGCTAGATCACCATTCAACAGTATATTCTCGCCCTAACAAAAACACTAATAACCTAATTAGGCACAAATTTATATTTTATAAATTGGTAGTACATATTTTATTTTATATCAAAAAAAATGAATATATTTAAGTTTATATTTTTTAAGATAGTATCAAAGTTAACTTTAATGATGATGAGACATTATTCGTCAACGATTGTGGAATAAATTACTCATTATTGGACCAATAATGGATCACTCATCCTCGATATGAGGAAGTGTGATGAAAAAAAATCTCTTTAGATATAAGGGGGTGTAAAAAAATTCTCCTCACTATGAGAGAGATTGTATTGAAAAATCTCACATCGATTATTGATGTTATAATATTATAGTATATAAGTGAGTACAATTCTCACTATTTCTAAAAATGTCTACTTTTGTGTATATTCTAAATAGAAATCTTATAAAGAAATTAATTGTATGTATTCCTAAGGAAGTATGTTCATGATAGAATCCTAATGAGTCCCTTCAAAAATTTTGGCTCAATGTGTTTCAACATGTATTTGGACAACTTAGAAAGAAACTTGATGACATACCATAATCATGGTTCTCATTGACTATTATGCAACATGTGCTTATAAGTTGCACAATCCTAAAAGTAAGAAGGTTTACATTGTGCTTATTAATGATTTATAAAGACGAGATTGATTTAATACAACATCGGACAAAAATGTTCTTATACATTTTAAGTATCCAGGTGATATTCAACATACTACTAAATCACTTAACCATCAATCAAGAATGTCCCAAAGATGAGACATACACCTCATTTACCCATATATTATGAAGTTTATTCCAATATAATAATCAATGTAAATGGAGAATTAGTGTATTTGTCATGGTTGCTATTAATGTAAATTGGTGACATGTCATGGAGGAAAAATTAGAGTCAACTAAAAACATAATGAAATTTAGGAATTAGTTGAATTACTAATTGGAAAGAAGTCAATTCATGTGAAGTGAGTTTTAAAAACCAAAATAAAGACAATGGAAATGTGCTTAGATACAAGGTCAGACTTTTTGTAAGATGTTTTTTCCATAATTGGTTAAGATTATAATGAAATGAATTTTTGCTCCAATAAAAAAAATGTCATAAATTTATATGATCATAAACAAACTTCAAGTATTTGGAATTTGTGGGTTGATAATTTGTTAAAAAATCTCACATTGATTATAGATATGATAACATTATAATATAAAAAAAAGTACAATCCCCCTTAATAAGTCGATTTTACAAGGTTAAGTTAGGTATTTTATCATTTCTAAGATAATTTTTCTAGTCAACATAAATTTAGTAAATGCATTATTCAACCCATCATCTATATAAAAAAAAAATTCTAAGATCAATTTATTAATCATTTCTCTACATAGATGATCTTTTGATAACTAGAATAGTTAAGTTTAAGAAAACTATCATGAAGAAGGATATTTAAAATAAAATCAATGTGTGAGACTACAATTCAATTATTACTCCTATTAAACCCAAAATTTGTCTTTATTAAAAGGAAATAAAGAAACAATACATTCTATTTTGTACGAGCATATTGTAGTATTACTAAAGTATTTATGCAAATATCAAACCAAATATTACATTCAGTGTTAAGTTGATAAGAAAAATTTCAAGAGAGTCAAGGATATCTCATTTACAATCAATAAGAAAAATTTTAAAATACTTGAAATATACTTTAAATTTGTGACTTTTCTATTATTATAGAAAAAAAATACAAAAATAGTCCTAAAATAATTTTAAAGAATTTTTTAAAGATGTTTAAGAAAATCACTACCTACTTCTACAAAATAAATCCAATTCACATTTACCATAAAATAGTCTCACCAAAGAAAGGTAGAGAAAACCCTATCAAACATGAGGAATAACCCTAATCTATAATAAATAAATAAGATTAATGTAAATAATAATAATAAAAACTTCTATCATGTCTAACATTAGTCGAAATATTATTTTATTGATGTTGTCCAAAATAAACCCTTATTAGCATCATTAAAGAAATAACTTGACATATGATTGATACTGATTGAAAAAAATCTCATGAAATGATAAAGAAATTTCCAACTAATATGTATTAGAAAATTAAACTTTCACAATGACAAAAAAAATAATAATAATTATAATGTACTTTAACATGAATTATGCACCTATGGACATCAGTTAAAAAAATAATATCAAGTCAGCCTTTTAGATAAATTTTGAAATTTGTTAATTTCAAATAAACAAATTGCTATCATAAATATCTAAATTTTTTTCTATAAGATGAATTGATCATCCAAACACAAAATAAGAGATAAGTGCAAACCGTCCTACTATTGTTGTCAATAATCATCAATACTTGTTTTAATATTTCACAACTTACAAAGAATATCAGTAGTTACAATTTGTCCAAACCGCAATCTTCTGCCTCATTCATATTGGGTTTAGGCAACAATGAGAACTAATTCTTCCTACCAAAATCATGTTGTGACGATGATAAATTAAAAACAACTATTTCTTGTTTGTTCAGGCTTTCCAAGTGCTAGAATAATTTTTTGTAAATTGAAGCTAATCTAAAAATAGTACAGTTAAATTGTGATTACAGAATTCCGAAATGTGATTATATTTTCCGTATTTTTTTTTAAAGGGAGATGGCTGGTTTTCAATGGGTTGGTATGTAAATAGATAGCATAATTCAGCTTAAACTAGTGATTACCCACTTAGCACTTCAATTATAATAATAATAATAATAATAATAATAATAATGACCCTCTTAAAAATTATTATTATTATTATTATTATTATTATAATAGAGTTCTCAAGTGGGTGCTTATCACGTAGAAGTATCATTTTCCTTGAGCTCAACAGCTGAGCAAAGCTGAAGCTTTCTTTTGGCTATCTCATGTCTTTTATCTTTCTTGGTCCTTCGTACTGCTGCAAGTTGTCATGATAATGCAGAAGCCTCGATATAAAAACAGGTGAAATTCTCATCAAATGTATCATGAGCTCTTTCACACTTCTGAAAAGAGTATCCACCACTCCATCAATTTCTGATTCAAATTGCTCGTAAACAAAAAATGCCATAAATGCGAAGACCAAACCTACACAACAATTCAGATTGAGTAAAAAAATGAAAGAACAAACTGACCAAGTTCTCGTACTCACATCAACAATTCCATACCTATGCCTATCAATTTTGTCAGCAACTTTGACAGGACCATCTTCAGAAGGTAAAGAAAAACTGCAATCTGCATCAGTTAAAAAAATTAACCATGAAGGCAACGACACCAAAATCTCTACATCATAGTAAAACTTTATTTGTGCATGAATTATTCTTTCCAGCCAACCTCGCAAACAATTATGTTAGGCACAGCCAAAAGTTTGACCCACAGGCCAATTAGTAATAGAAACTTATAACCCATTTTTCCAAAACCAAACAATAGACCCAGGCTCAATAAACAGATAATGCTTTGATCTTATATATTTTTTTAAAAAGTACATAAATTTAATTAGACAAAGAAAAAAGGAATTTTCTCTTTTTAATTTTGTTTACCTTGAAGAATGCAGACCAATCGTCCCCATGGGCCAACCTTCTTATTATTTGAAAACCCTTGTTCCAAAGATATACTATAGTTGTAACTGAATCTTTCACTACCGCATCAGAGATCTCGAAATAAGACACGGGTATCCTTTGTATATTGAAACCAAAACTGTTAAGTGTCATACAGTTAGTACCAAGAGAACGATCTATTTTTCTAGTGACCTATAGCGGTACAAGTTGTTTAGAGCCAAAATACCCAAAACAAATTTAAGTGTTATTTAAATGTACATTACATAATTCGGCACCAACTTGTGGTGACATATGAGTAGCTCTTATTGCTGAGATATACACCAAATTATTCTCTGAAAATTATTTATTTAAATAAGGAAGCTGAAGGGAGAGGACCAACTGTAGAAGCATAATTTCAATAAACCAACTGGATCACATAAAAAAGTTGGGCTACACATGATTTGATGGCAGAAAGCTTCCTAAATTTGTTAAAGGGACGGATATTTAAAAGCCTTTATGAGCATGCACTTACAACTTTGATGGCAGAAAACCGTGTCCATAAAAAAGTAACTTGGCAAGCAGCAAAAGTTTTGCAGCAGATGATATAAAAGTTCTTCCAGAAAGGAAAAACCAGTAAAACAACAAAACCAGCACAATGAAACATGTAAATGATTTCTTCTCGTCTCTCCACAACAAAATGCCAGCCACTGTAAAAATAAAGCAAAAATTATTTTGCTCGCCAATATTATAAAATATCTATGATTCAGAGTAGTTAACACATGTACTGCCAAATATTTGGTTCAATATTCTACCAAAGTGTTTTAAAACGATTCACATTACCCACTTTTGCCCTTCTCCATATTTAACATGTAGCATACAAGTGCATAGAAATTTTCATTTGAGCCAAGCACACCCTTAAAATAAACAAAAAATGTAAATATCTGAGCAAACCTATGAGCAAGGCATTTATGGTTGGTGGTGTTGCCCTTAAACTTATGTCAGTTTTAACTTAATCAGATAATATGCAGGTTAAAAGTTAACTATTCTGACAAGATGAGCTTCATTTCATGCAATAAGATATACCTATGAATATGCTACAAGTCATTCCATTTCCACTTAAAGTTGCTTTGACATTAACTAAAGATAACAAACCTTCACGGATACATGTAAACACTGTAATGCAAGATAAAGCATTAAGTTTTAACCTTTCCCTCCACCCAGCAGCTTATCCGCTTTTGACCGTACAGTGGAACTGCAGGATCTTGATAAACACGAGTCTTTGGATAAATGAGAGAACGATTCAATGGTTAATGTGATTCCTTCCTGTATTGCCCGATATCAACAATTATACATGAAAATCTCAAGAGTAAAAAAGTACAGGGACATTACAAAAAAGAATATTTCACTCTGTTTAGAACATTATAAAGTAACATAGAAAGGAGTATAAGCAGTATGAAGAGTATTATTTGTGTATCTGTATGTGTATGTGAGGGATTGGAGGTCTGCACATTATTGACAAGGGAACAGCCTTATTTTATTTTAGAATCTTCATTTTGCCTCTTTAAAGTTTGTTGCATAGTTAAATCTCATATAAATCAGTCATCACTAAGTAACAAGAATATAGGTGAACTCACAAGCAAAAATTAAAAAAGAAGCAAGAATTAAACCTCAAGGGAGACTATTGGTGAATATCCAATATGTTTGTGAGCTGCCATGCAGTTGAAAGTTTGGGTGTACAAAGCTAAATGAAAAAAATGAAGTAATAAAGGATAACTGAAGTATCTGGGTCCCAACTTTTCATGCGACCACTTTAAAACTGATAGAATATATTGAGCCAACTTAGCAGGAAGTTTGATGTACGGCCTGCAACTCAAGCAAGGAATTTTCTAATTTGGTTAACAGCATAAGAGGTCATAAATCAGAAATAAAGAAAAAACATAAATAGCCTTTTGTTGCCTCCAGCAGCGAATGAAATAGCAAACCAACAGAGCAAATATACCAACGGAAGAGCTAATTTGTTTATGATGTCTCTTAAATGGCAGGAAAAGGTTAATTTGATGTAGCTTGTGGCTAGAATTTGCCAAAGATATGAGCAGAGAAAATATAATTATAAGCTTTTTTCCTCTTCTAAAACTCCAGCATGCTATATTATACAATCAAGTCAAACATACACAAATGTCACTCGTATATCAAAACAGGCTGTGCATTTTCACCTTTCATATCCCAGACCTTCTAACAAAAGTGAGAGAAATTCCCAGAAATGTATAGGCTCATCATTTGTGATGAAAAATGCCTGGATGAGAGAAAAAAATACTTTGTTATGCATGAATATCAAATCAGAGCAAGCAGTAAGTTGATATTCCATACATACACACCTTTCCTGCCACAGAAACTGTTTGGAAATTTAAGGCTTCTTCTGCACAGATATGGGCATGAGTAACATTTTCAGAAAAGGTGAAGTCTGAAAGATTATCACCAGTCCCTATAATAAACTGAAATGAGGCATTGTTACTCTAAAATAAGACTTTACCCCAGTAGGTGAGATCAACTACTTAATCACATGATATATGAAACCAACAACAAAAGTTTTATCCCACTAGGTGAGATCAGCTACATAAATCACAATCAAACTAGGTTAAAGATCAAACTAATAGGTGTTGAAAAGTTGCTTTAATTGTGGTTACCTCTAGCCCGTCAAATTAGCATCCTCTTTGGGGCTTCCTTAATTGTAGTCTCAAGGGTTAAAGTTTAGTCTCATATCAATTAGAGATATAACTTAACAAGCTTTAAAGTTTGAGTAGTTATCATCTTACAAGTGGTTTTTGTAGAATTAAGTTAGACCCTTAGTTGGTTTCTAAGAATAGGAAATTTTGAACTTGGCTTCGTTTGAAGCAGGAAACAATTATAGCATATTAACAACTTACAACTACGAGCCAGATTATAAGAATGGAAGAAGCTAAATTTTTCCAAAGCTTTCACTAGCATTTATTAAAACAACTTACAACTACGAGCCAAAAAAAAAAACAATCCAGGGTAAAAGGCAATCTACCTTTGCAAAACCATATCTTGCTAACTTGAGAAAGTATGGTACAGATTCTGTGTCCCCAGGTCCAAAAACATTACTAGGACGAAGAGAACATGTCAATAGGCCATCAATGTCATTGACACTCAGGATCAAAGCTTCCGCTTGAGCCTTAAGGTCACTTAACATGTCTTCAGTCTGCAATTCACATCCTCCCATTAAAATGCTAATTCACTCGCAAATGAAAAGCATCTAATCTAGTTTTTAAAGGGGCAAAACAAAAAAGCTCTTTCAAACTTGAACAAAAGTAGAACCGTACTTTCCACGGATAGGCCAACGACTCATCTCCATCACGAATATCATGCAAACCATCAAATACAACATCCGCGGAACTGTTATATATTAGGCGTTTCACTCTACATTCTCGGCACGCACTAATGACATTCTTTGCACCTGAATAATGGAACATCAAATCACATAAGCAAAAACATCTAATGTTCTGCAATTAACAGAGCAAATGGAAGGGTACCTTGAACTATTAGCATATAAGAAGTATAAAAGTCATTGACATCGACGCCAGCAATATCCATATAAAACACAACAGAAGAACCTTCTAGAACTGCACAAAACGCATTCAACGGTGCTATCAGTTTCCGTAATTGAAAGAAATTGGAAGAAAATGAGGCAGATTCGAGTGTGATGCACAGGATGAACACGTGACGTAACAGAAAGGATTGTGGACCTTTGACAATGCTGCGCATATCGGTAAGGTCGACGTGAAAGTAAGAAGCGCGGGCGGAAGAGAGAGCTTGCGCGAGGAAAGACTCGGTGTAAAGGAGTTGGGGAGACTGAGCGGAATCGGCGATTCGAACGATCCAGTTATCGAGTTTCAACAGCCTGAGGACTAACGATTTTCCGAGGAATCCTCTGCCACCTAAAACCACGCACGTCTTAGGGTTCAAATGTGCGAACGGATCGTCCTTCGCCATTGCTGCCACAGAGAAACGGTGAACGTTGATGTCGTATTATATGTATATAATGAATTGAATGAATTATTCGGGTGCAATGTTCTCAACGTGATGTGAGTGAAAAAGGAGAGGGAGAAAGAGAGTATAGTTGCTAAATTAACCTGTTTGTTACTCTTGTTCTGCGTTTCCTTTGGCGCGGAAACTGGTTCTGTGTATTGCAAAGCAAATCGCACTGAGAGTGGGTGGGGACCCTCTTAGAATCTTTTGGACAGGGGAAGGGCGAGGGATAATAATCTGATCATGACGCTTAATAACTCTGATGCTGATGCTAATGCCACACAACAACGGGACCAACTACCGTTTTACATTTGTTTCTATTATTTTGATAAAAAAAATTATTATTATATTATTATTATCATCATATATTTATTATAATAATTAAACTTATTAGACCTTCTGGCTCGTGAAAAAAAAAAAAAAAAAGACGTAAACGTTAAGACACATCCAACTGTATCAAATTGGAAGTGGTTAACCAAATAATGATCCTATGTGTGGTGATACCAACAGATATGAAATGACATGATTAGGTGTATCATATTTCTGGGCACAGAGGATTAGCGCATAAAGCAATTCTGTCATATTCGAGAAGGTTGACAATGGTTTTGTATGTTTCTTTGAAGAGTGGAGATTAATGCACAAGCTGTTGCAGATTCGGGTTTAGGTGAATCCACCCATCAACATAAAAGTGAGAGTAACAACCCACCATACTTGTCTGTTATACTCCACAAGTCTTCCTCATCAAATTACTCAACTCACTGACACTTCCTAGAGTGAGGGCATGGGAAATAATACGTCTTCAACGAAAGATTACATCACGTATAAACAAAATAATTGAAATTAAATCTATTCTCGGATACATTATTTTAATGATTGCGTCCCTTGTCCTTTTGTTTGAAGTCATATGATATCAATCGCAAAATCTTACTTCATATTGTGGCCGAAAGTCTGCTTATAAAACCATCTTAGTAAACCAATGAACAGCTTACGCTAACATTTCACATTTCGTGCCTTCATAACAAGACCATGACAATTGTCCTCTTACTAATTACTAATAAAGTGTGAACTTTTTGGTACAAACTAGTCTTTGAAATATTGAAAATATAAAGTCATCATGCAATGGATCAAAATAGTGAAATACAACAACTTTCTCAATAATTCTCAACATATGAGCTTCTTCCATGCATCATCATGATTTTGACCACCATCGTGCCAACAAAACGGAAATCTAATTTACATCTCAAATGATCCCGAAGAAAATTGAAAAAATTATATTACGATGTCATCAGGTAAATATTATTCCACTGATGGATTCATTAACCTAATCTATACAGAATAAGTATCTTTAGAATTTTAAAATTTTCTAAAATTTATTCTTTGCTTGTCGGATAACTCCTAGGGCTTCTGCATCATCTGCTGTGGGTGCAATATTTAGCTTTTGCCGGATTTCCATGCTCCATGTGCGAAGGAATGGATTGCAAGCTTTTTCCATCTTCAGCGTAGTTGGAACCTGAGAAAACAGTAATAATTTGGTAAAAGCATACAAGAGTCAAATTAAATAGACCATCAATTCACAACGGTATGTTGGCTTTTAATAACAATAATCTATGACACGTTTATCAAGATGCTTGAAAGTTGAATCCATAGAAGAAGCTCAGTTCTAGAAATTACCGTGGGAAAGCCCTTATTTCTGAGGTGAGCTACATGAGCAGCATAGGATTGAAGTTCCTTGTTTTCAGGTTCTACGGACAAGGCAAACTTTGAACTACTCTGTCAAATATGCAAAGCACCAAAGTCAAGGTCACAACAATTAGATTTAGAAATGAAGCAGGGAACATAATGAAAGTCGAAACAACTAACCAATGTATATTCATGACCGGAGTAAATACTCGTTTCATCTGGCAAAGACATGATCCTTTTAAGAGATGATAGCATCTGTAACATGAAAGAAATTCTTAATAATTACAGATAAAAAAACATTACAAGCTTAGCAAGCAATATACTTAATCACGTAAAAGAAAATGGCTTGAATTCATACCCAAATTGTACATTTGCACTAACATCTAGAATCAACCTCCAACATCCAACTTATACAGCTTCATATATTCAAATGAAAAAAGATAAATGAAAAGTCTTATCCTTATCTAACTGACACTATACAAATGAAAAAATGTGCATCCACATATAAAAACTAAATAATAGTCATTTTTTAAAATGTTTTAAAAAATAACTATCGTTAAAAATAGTCATTTTAAGAACTAAAAATAATGTTATTTTTTTAAAATAAATAAATAAATCTAAAAAGTTTGATTAATTTCGTTTTATTTTTTAATTTTTAAAAATAATTTTAAATATTAATTTTGAAAATTTATCTTTAAAAATAAATATAAAAAAACATTATTATGACCACTAAAATAATATTTATTGAAATAAATGATTTGTGATGTTAACATAGTAATTAGTAAGAAACGGCATAGTAGTTATGTAATTAGTCTTACCAAATATCTTAATGATTCAAGCCAACTGTTCCTACACTAAGATCGCAGACATGGAGAGTTTGTTTATTGAATTACGAATAAAAACACGGTAACCTCATTTTAGACAAGACCTTCAAGAAATAAGTCAAATAACTACCACACTTTCTGCTGGAATTTATATCTATAAAAGAATAAAAGTTTCAAATATCATGATGTCCTCGTTTAGTTGCCATGACTATAGTTCACATCCTTTCCTGCAGGTATTTGCAGTTTAAGTTTGAAACGAAATGTAAAACAAGAAAGAAAGATTGCAACAGGATGCAGTGGCTTGTCCCTGAAGATAGAGACGTACAACCAGAAAACTAAAATCAACCTGTTCAGGAGTTCCTTCAAAGAGCTTGCCACATGATAAGCTGAACAAGGTGTCTCCTGTAAAAATCGCCGCAGATCCTGGAAAGTAGAAGCTTACATGACCTACTTTATAGCACAAACAGATCATAAATTGAAAAAGTGAGGGTCAGCAGATTGAAGTAAAGAAAATCATATAAAGAACACTAGTAGCAGCTTGAGCATGTTAGTTGCATAGCCAAACACTCCAGCACTACCCAAAGCAATAATCCAAAAATTGTTTACAGAAAAAGCCCTACACCATTCTGTTAACAAAATAATCCTGAAATCTAGCCATGGGAAAGCAAGTTAAAGATTAGGGTTCCGTGAGGGCAGATGAAAAATAACAGCAAAGAATAGAGTTAAGATTCCCATGGAATTGAAAATTATCGAGTATAGTAAATGAGGTTAAATAACAAATCAATCTGAGCTGTTTTTTCATCAATTATCTTAAAATATATCAAATAGCAGATGAAAATAAGAAAATTTACTATCGCAAACCGACAATGAATATGACCTTCAGTGTGACCAGGTGTAGCTAATATATGCACCTCATGGCCCGCAAACATCCAGTTATCTCCATCACTCAAATAAATATCAATACCAGGAATTCTTTCCTTGTCTATTTCTGAGCCAATTACCTGCAAGACAAGGAATTGTCGTAAGTAAATCTCCTCACATTTGCTGACAACACATTTATAATGTTAACATTAGTTAAAAGTATAACAAACTTTGATTCAATATTTAAAAAAACGTACCTTTGCCCCGTACCTTTCTTTCAACTCTGCATTTCCACCAGTGTGATCATGATGGTGGTGTGTATTCAGTATGTATGTCAAATTTAAATTTTTCTTACTCAATGCATCTATAATAGGCGCAGCTTCGGAAGGATCAACAACACCAACTGTCCCCGTATCCACATCATGTAAAATATATGCATAATTGTCCCGAAGGCATGGAACCTAAAAATTAAAGAAAAATGAGATGTGAGTAACACAGATCATACCAGGATTTCGGCACATTGCACTAGAGCCTATTATCATGAGTGACTGAATATTAATCTAATTGCATCATTAAACAATTGAATAGGAGGGAGATATTTGCTCACCAACTCAATCTGCAGTGAGGAAGATAGATTCACTACACTGCAAAATTGATCTACTCTCAACGACCGACTAGCTCCACGCAAAGTTTTTAAAGGTATAGAAAATAATCGCATAAATCCATATAAAAGACCTTTCCTCAAGCAAAGTTGTCTCGCATCCGGCCAGACGCAAAACCCACTTCTTTCCTGTAAGACATAGAATAATCAACACCTATTACTAAATCATAACACGAGCACATCAATAAACAGACAGCTACAGACAAATGCAAATGCAAAAGCGTAAAACCACCACCGAAATACGTGAACGAAAACTTACAATGCCAGTGTGAACAACAATCATGCCAAACTAAATCACAAGAATCTCACCCAGGAAACTCCCAACCACATACAGAAAACCGAATTACCTCGAAATAAAACTACTCTCAAACATTTTCGAAATTAGAAAGCAAAATCAGTTGCAATCAATTGCTTCCAAGCAATACAGAAATCCGTGTGAGAGATCTACACTCAAAAGATCTGGCATACAAGAAAATTGACGAAATCAAATAACGAAGACGGAGATTCGCACAAACAGTGAAACAAAGCAACAAGAAAAACATGTATTCGATATAAGCTCGTAAGATCTCGAATTCCAAGGGCAACGAAGAGGGAAATCGGTTAAAACAAGAATACCTTAGTGTCACTCATCGAATGGTAGGCTCGAGAGGAGAGACCAGAAAGTGAATTGCTATGAAAGAAAGAGAGAAAGAAAAAGAAGGAGAGTTTGCATCAGGAATCCATTGCTGCGATAATGTAAGGGGAATCGGAGATTGAACTGTGCGAGAGAGAAGGGGAACGAGAAAGGAGAAACCCTAGAAGAAGAGATTGATCTGATCGATGAGATGAAATGTGTCTGAGCGAAGGGAAGGGAATGGAATGAAACGAGAAAAGAGAGAAAAAGAATTGAAAAAGAGAAGGCAGTTGCATTTATGTTACGTTGACACAAACACTCTTCTTTCTCTCCACTGTGTTTGCTTGAAAACGATTTTTGCTTTTCTCCCCCTCCCACCACCTTTTACGCCTTTCCACCTCCTACCAACCTTCCTTCCTTCCTTTTAAATCCTTTTTTATTTTTCTATTCTACTACTATTATTCAAATATTCATCCCATCTTTTACATTACTACATCTCATCACAATTACTTATAAATTTTATAAAACTTATGATGTAATTAAAAAACAAATATTAATGCAATATTTAAAAATATAATTGTTATACTCATATTTAAAAATAATTCAGGAGCACTCAAACGTTGGATAACAAAGTCTTGTAAAAACTTTTCTACCTTATAAGAGCCGTTCATATATTAAATTAAAAAACAAATTAAAGGACTATAGCTTAAAAATGTTATTATATTGTATTAAAATATATTTTAAATAAATTATTGTTCCAAATTTAGGGTTTAGATTCCAAATTTACGACAGTGTAAAATGATTAAAATTTAATTAGTGATATCATTTTACAATTTTAAAATAATAAATAAACAAGCAAATAATTAGAGTTCCATGCAACAATTACTGGTTCATTGATGAATTGTGAATAAGTAAACGTGATATATAAAACAGAATAAAGTTTTTCGACCAGGACTAGTTGTGTGTTGCTTTGTATAAAAAACATTATATATAATCCAATTTTAATTAACATTATTTTAATAACTTGATTTATTAATAAATAAGATTGTATAATCGATTTTTTTCATTTATAATATTAATATAGAATGTCATATTTTTATGAAATAAAACCTTTTTATGACATGCATGTGAAAGTTGAATTAATAACGGTTGATTTATTTCACTATAAGAACTTGGACGCAATAGTAAAATAAACTGTGTAATAAAACGACAGAAAGATGTTTTTTTAAGATAAGTTTGATTTAAAAAAATATTTGATAGTGAAATAAAATATTTTTTCTATAAATGAATAATGTAATAGAATAAATCAAAATAAAATAAAAATACAAAATATATTTTATTAATTATTTTAAAAAAATTTAAAAGCTAACTGAACATAGTCATTTTTTAAAATTATTTCAAAAACGAATTACCAAACAAAAAAAAGTGTTTTTTAAGAACTAAAAAAAGTTATTTTTAAAATAAATAAATCTTAAAAGTTGTGTTTTATTTTATTTTTTAATTCTTAAAATAGTTTAAAATATCAACACTGAAAAACGAGTAAAATACAATTTTAAAAATATAAAATTAAGATCCTTAATTTAAATTATAACAAACACCATCTCATTTTTCTTAACCCATCTCTTGGGTGAAAGTGAGGCATGTTTCTCTTTCCCCACACTTTGATGTTTGTTGAATTTGTAACAGACAAGTTAAAGATCCAAGGTTTTAAGAAATTTGCGCATCATGTGAAACCATAACACATTGGATTAACCGTCATAATAGCATCTTTATTCTACCAAGCACCACTATTATTGTCCCTAAAACTTTCCAAGACTATAAAGGATAATCATATTATTGGGACCAAACAATATACACCAACATTTTTGTTTAGACTTGTTCAAATGTGGTAAACCCTATTCGATAATGATAACAAGTTTTAGATTATAAAGTTAGTATATTTTAAATATTAAAAAACGAAAATCTTCCACTTTTTCACACTTTATCTTTCCATCATTAAATACAACTAAAGTTTAAAAGAGATATAGAAGAAAATAATATTATTTGATCTCACATCAAAATTCCACCCTAATTTAGACAGAAAAATAACACTAAAAGAAGGATAATAAAACAAATTAATACCCAAGTTATTATATCTCACGTTGTTATTTAAAGATATTTAATTAATTTTATAAATATAGGTCTTTTTTTTCTCTCTCTTTTTTTCTTCTTTTCACTTTTTTATTATTATTTCATAAACAATTATAGCATCATTTGAAGTTGAAACAAGTGAATTTCATGGTAACTTTGATCCTCCTTTACTTTATGAGACATGAATATGACCTATTTAGTATATTGACTTCACACAATCTAATTCATCTTTTAAGTATCTTGTAAAAACACAAATCACTATCAAAGCTATTAAGTATACATATGTTAAATGTCATTATTCTATTAAAGTCTTTGATGACTTTAGTGGTGAGTATCTTTATTAAATATCTATCTTATTTTTAACATTATTATTTATATTTGGAGAGAGGGATTTTCATAAACTTACCTCGAATTTTAAGAATTTTAACATATAATTATTTTTTTATATATAAAATTAATCTTATAATGATCACAGTTGGTGAGAAAATATTCTAACTCAAAACTTTACTCAAGAACACTAAATTGAGTTCCTCTCAAACCAACTTCTTCTTAATCTTGAATATAGTAAAATGACAATTAAAAATAATTTACTTTGATTTTCTACAAATTATATATTTATTAAGTTAAATATAAAATCCTAAAATAGTTAAAGTTTTTTTTATAAAAGGAGAGAAGTATCGGTTGATTATAATTTTACATTAAAATTACCTACAACCATAATTTTAGATGTTGATAAAAATTCTCTTTAAATGAGAATAACATTTAAGAGTGATGATAAATTTTCAAATTATTTTGTTTTAATATTGGTTAAGATATTTGTCACATCCATTTAAATATTTTGAATAATTTAAAAATTATTCATGTATTTTTATTTTTTATCAAGTTATGATAGATTCTTCAATCTAATGTCAAGCATTGTTGGGATGATGAAAGAAATCGCTTACAAACATTATCTGAGATCATGTGAAGAAAATAAAATATTTAATAATAATATACATTATGATTATTATTATATGTTGAGATATTTAATTATTATTTTTCTTATGGGGTATGGAAATTTTTAAAAATAACATAAAATATAATTTTAACAAGAAAAATAATTTTGACATGTCTAATTAGGAATGAGAAACAAAAAGACACCACCAATACCTAACATGTGAGATATTGTTTGAAAAGTAATAATGAGTGCATTTAAATGTGTAAGTTGGAAGTTGAGGTGGAAAAGAGATTGGAGCACATGTTGGTGAATGATATCATGATTGAGTCACTGTTTAGGGCTTACTTGTGGCTAACACGTTGTGCCATGCTATTGGCATTGCCACCACCAAATGCTCTATTTTTCACTTCACAAATCACACTTCATTCACCACCATGTGATGCTTTCTCTAAGTTTTTTTCAGCACCAGATATTATGATTTCCCATTTCCATTAACCATTTTTTTTTATATATACTATATTGCAAATTACTTTTTTGTTTTTCTAATTATATTGGAAAGTTCACATTACTTTAATATACATTTTTAGTTTTGTAAAAAAAATATTCCTCTAATTTTTATTTAACGATGTCAAAATAAATCAATATTGTTAGATAATATCAAAATAAACCAACTGCCTAACACGAATTGAATCACTACAAACTACATTAAAATGAATAATTTCAATATGACTTTTTTTTAATTATTTGTTATCTTTTTAAATTATTAAAACAGACGGATTAATTGATTTGCCTTATTAATATAAATGAATTAAGTGGGTTAATTTATTAAAATAATTTTTTTTATAAATTTATACCAACATATATGAATAATAAAAATTAAAATATTAAAGATTGAAAAAAAAAAACAATATCAACCCACTATCAACCAGACTTGAACGTTGTTAACTCACATATGGTAAACGTGCCGGACTCACTTTAACCAATCATTAAAAACTCTTAAAATTTTTAAACCCCACCCGGTTGACCCATGGTTGGCTAGATTGGATCATGGTTGAGACTAATATTTTCACACCTATTTCTACCATTTCCTCCTTTTCCTGATCTTAAATTTTAAAGCTAAACCCTCCTCCCAACCAACCTAAAGAAAATACACCTCTTCCTCAACCACATCCAGCAACAATAATGGGATGAAAAATATCTATGCTTTTAAGAAGTGAGAAATTCATGATATAGAGAATGTAGTAATATACCAAAAAAATGTTTTTTTTTTTTTTTCTCCTTTTGGGTTACAGATAGAGAAAGTTTAAATTTCATCCTTCAATACAGTACCAGCTTACCAGCTGTTACCTAATAATAATCCAAAAGAAATCAGGTTGACACAATGACTGACACCCATTTTTCAGATGTTACAATTCAGTGCAGTGCAGCTATGGTCCTACAATCATAGCACTCTAAAAAATTAAAAGATGCATTTTATTGCTGCAATTACACAGCTGCCACCAACCCAGAGTACACCTTTCAAAGTTCATCCTGAAAGAGTCAAAGTCCAAGGAAATGCATATTTAATAAGGGTACTGAATATGAAAACTGACCCTTACCAAAAGATTTGAAAGCAAACGATATTTGACACAACGGAAACATCTTACAATGCAAAGAATCCAACAATGCTCAAGAGTTTCATAAACTTGTATTTTTTATTACAAATTGATCATACTATACTTATCCTTATGGCTTCCACATGAATGTAAGAAACAATATCAGATAGGATAAAGAGTAATGGCCTAGATTAATGCTATGTGATTTTTAACAGAAACACTTTCATGATTATGAGTGAAGATATATTAAGACTTATTCACACAAGCATTTAAATAACAGAGGATTTTAGGCTTACATGGTAATCAGCCACATCGTGGGGATCCGGCTGCAAAACAAAGTCATGATATCAGATATTTTAGTTCATAAGCAATATGTGATCATGAACCCATTTGAATTAAACGCCAAACAAAGTTAAATGAAATGGCCAGGGAATTTGAGACAAGAAAGCTCCAAAAACTGTTACTTTGCAATCTTTATTTCTCCCTCATATGTCCCAAACTAATGTTTTTCCATTCTATTTTCAAGCATGAAGTTTGCATAGATCATCTTTCTTAAACGTCTTGTAACTAATTTATTCACTATTCTTTTTTCCTAGAAGAAATGCCCGATTGCGTTCCCTACAGGTGTAAGTGTAACTACATGTGTTAAAGAAAAGGGTTTCCAAAGCATAAAGATGAAAGTGAGCTCAATTCAATAACCCTATATTGCATATTCTCTCCCTATTAAACACATATAAGTAAAAAAATATAACAAGAAGCTTTCTATAGGCACGTTTGGTTAAACTTTTTCCATAGACACTTCTACATGAGAAAAAAATAAATAAATTAGTTTTTCTTTAAACTAAAGTTAGTTTATATGTAACTTAATTCGTAGAAATTTTCTCATATAACTTTTCTAACATTTGATTTTTAACTTATGCATGAATTAGCTTTTGTTTATGGAAAAGTTTGCTTCATTTTTTCTCTCAAGTACTTATGAATAAATTTATCCAAAAGGGTCATTTGTTCCCATAAACACTTGAAGTTCTTTTATAACTTTTCTAATATTTGATTTTTAACTTGTGACTTTATTTTTCTCTCTTAAAAATACTTACTTAAAATGAAATTTGTCCAAAGAGGTTATTTATTCCTCCCACTATTAATTCCTCCAGCTCAAAAAAGAAAGTTAAACCCAAACATTTACTGCAAAGTTAAAAAATTACAATCTAGAACAATTTTTTGGCATGGAATCAGGTAAAAAACATTACCCTTCGACGCCTCCTATTTCCATATTTCTGATCCCTCTCCTTCCTCCTTTTTTCACCCTCTTCTCTTGCTCTCCGTGCCTCCTACATAATGATAACATGAAAAGGTATTGTATTGTACGGATGAAACATGTCAAATATGATTATGTATCACATTAAAAAACTGCTGAAGCATTTAGGCTTTGAATGGTCACCTCTTCTTCCCGAGCCCTTCTTTCTTTTTCTGCTTCTTCAAAAGCTTCTTTCTCAGCCTGAGATTTTACAAATAATGAGATGCAGATACTATGTTTCCTATCTCCTACAAACTAAATAACAGATATACAAAGCCTGCAAGTAAAGGCTCACCTCTCTATTATTAGCCATGAAGTCATCCACAGCTTGCTTTGCATACTGTGGGTCATCACAAATTAAGATGTTGTCGTAAACTGAACCTGCCTTCACCTAAAAATTAAAATTTAATATTGTCACACTTCAAATATTCAATAATAGATAAATATTCAAGTATAGGTAAAACTTCTGGAATTTACTGCTCAGGGTGTTTCCGTAAACAATTTAATCAAGCACTTATTCAATAATTTCTTATTGAATGAGATCTCATTAAAAAATTTATGAAGCTTACTATAATAAGCTTAGAAGAGCTAAATGAAGGACATGAGCCACTTTCACAAGCTAAAATAAGCACTTCTAAATGCTCCTTCAATCAGTAAAGAGGAAGAACAGAAGGTATGTATATACATAGACACACACACCTGCCACACTTCAATGCCCACATACTTTATTGGCTTTAGAACATAAAGATCAGGATCATCCTCGAATTCTGCAGAAAACAGGAAAGGTAATGTAAAATTCGTTATTAGAGATGACATTCGTACCATATAAAGAGCGAGAACAGAAAGTAAAGATCAAGCAACTTGACTGCTCAGAGATGCTGACTAAACCGATTACTACACTTAAGTTTGTATAGAGAATTTCACCACAAATTTACTTATCATTCATGCAGAGGCCTATAATTTCAAATGAATACACACGGCTGAAGATATTGCTAAAATAATTGACAGGCCAGTTGCCACCTAGTGAAAACTATCAGAATACCATTTTATAATTTTCTTTGTCTAATCAAATTTTTCCCTAGCCAACAAGAAGTAAGCAAAAACAACAGTCTAACTCCATATCAAATTATAATGTAGTAAACTTCATATTTGCAACAGTTACAAGTTAACATAAATGACAAAGCCTAAAAGTATAAGTTATTTTGTTGTCTTTACCACCAAATTAAAGCATCCATGCTTGCTTCTTGATTCTAAAAACAGAAACCACCAGCATATAAATAAACCTACCTGGGTTATCAATCCATGGAATCTTCCACTTTCCTTTGTAGTTGGGATTCTTGATTTTCTGCAGTTCAACAATTTTCAACAATAAGAAAGCCTAGAAAGGTAATGACTTCAACTTTTAATGTGTGCCTTAAAGAACCTTGCGTTTCCATGGTCCTTTGTATGCTGGATTAGGAACTTTTGAGGCCTTCCATAGTCCATCATCTTCATCATCCCAGTCAGCAGGCTACACAAACAAAGAATTAAACAAAAGGAAAGAAGGAAAAGAACACTCGTACGTCCATGCTAAATTAAGTCTTCTGTCAATAATTCAAAATATGCAGTAAGCAAATCAACCTTCTTGGCTTTGGGATCAGGAATTTCAGCTGGAATTGAATCATATCCCTGCGATATAAAATAATTAAGCAGAAAGAAGCACATGAAAATATATCTAAAAATCTATATAACATTATATGTTGCCAAAAACCTTTCTAAGAGCTTGACTATTAAAATTTTGGAAAAATAATTATCAGATTGATGTTCTATCATTTTTAGAATCTACCCCTTCAAATAAATAATATAATACTTGTATTGTAACAGGGGACTGAGAGAAAGACAAAAGAAGTATCTTCAAAAGTTTGATACAATTTATGATGCTTGATGCGACTTACAATAGTTAATAGAAAAAGTAATTGTTTTTTTTTGTTGTTGTTGAAAATGGAAACCTCTTCAATACAAAACAAACAAATTTTGCTGTAGCCGAGCTAGTTGTACCGGACAGTGTTCTAAACTGCACAGTGGTTGCGGTTGCAGAGACCATGAAAACCAAGTTGCAAAGTAATTGACAAACCAAAACTTTAAATACTGAAAGCAGATATTATCTATTCTACATGCGGATTAAACTCAGAGAAATGGAAAATTCATACTATAGAAATTTCTAAAGGTGATCGTGAAGGTTTTCATGTAAATGCAATGCCACATGTAAAGCTGAAGGTGTTTCACAAACTTGATGAACAATTTAAGTTACCAGAAGAGGATTATGGTGAAGAGAGGGGCACATAGTACCTCTGGTTTGACATCATTAGGATCTTCAATGTACTCTCTGTCATCCCAGTCTGCTGGCTGCAATAGGGAAAATAAGAAGACTCAGATGAAAGTAAATTGATAGATAAAGATGAAAAATATACCAAAAGAACCTAAACGTTTCCTATCTCAATTGAAGAACCCCATAGAATGGTTGTTTAAGTTGCTTCTTCAATGTACAACCATTGAGACCCCCAGAAATTATTAACAATAACAATGCAGGTCATATACCTAAAAAGGTAATTAAAAATATTCATTATTCAAACAAGTCTAGTCCCATAGTTGTACCTTTTTTGCTTTAACATCCTTGATTTTCCTTGGAGGAAGGATGTCCCAATCCGTATACATACTTCCAGAATCTCTTTCCCGGTTATCAACAAGAATACTATAAGAGGCATCAGGCCTTAGAATAAATGTATAGAAATGAGTCAACTTATCCGTTTCACATTGCAGTTCCTTTGTAATAGGGTAATTCTGCCCCTGGTATGATAGTATAAGATGGAGCTTCTTAGTCTGTGTACCACATATATCTGGTCCAAACATCAGACTGCATCAAGCAAGAACAATCAGTTCACTCTACTCAGCACAGTGACAGACTAAATAGGCACTGAAACATATGTTTATACAACATTAAACAAGACGTCTCAATTCAATCAACTTAAGGGGGAAAAAGGAAAAGAAAAACATTTAAATGTACAAAAATGAAGCAAATAAGTGCCAGAGTAAGCTGTTTGGATAAATTCCTCTATAAGCTCTTACCAAAGAAGAAAATAAGAAAGTAAAATGAAATAAGCTTCTTTGAAAAGTTAAAATTATGCATCAAATAATTCATATAAATTGACAAATTTAATTGTTAAACAAGCTATTTTAAGCTCATAACCAAAACTTAATTTTTTCTTATTATTTTTCTTCTACTAAAAATACTAATAAAAAAAAAATTATTCAAACCTAATCTATACAAATTAAAAACATTGCTTCAAAAATATTATTTCTTGCACATTTTTTTGTTACCTAAAATTTATTGAAATTCAAAAACTAATGTGGGTCCCACCCTCTACTAGCAAGTGAAGACTCATCCATAATTTCACGGGTCCTAATAAATATTAGCCATACATAGTACACTCCATGTATATAAAAGTTCATCTCTTTTTAAGCAAGTTAGCAAGCATACACTTCTTAAACATAAGGAAACAAGGAAAATTCACATGGCATGAGAAATTGAAGGACGTACCTATAAGGGGTATCGCCACCAAACTTCTTCTGATTGACATAACCAGAAAGAAGTTTGATGTAACCGCCACCACATTCAATGTCCTGCTCAAACCTAATGGAATACTGCACCACAAGGGTTCTGTCCTTGTTGTTAAACTCGGGTATCTTTGCAGATATGGCAAAATGCTTGGCATCGTTATATGTCTGAAGACCTGCAAAAAAAGGTTGCATCATCATCATAATTATAAAAATAATAATTGTGCCATCATCATCACAATTCAATTCCACATGCCTTGTTAGATCAACTTCTTCACAAGGATTTCTTAAATAGAAAAACTAAGAAAAAATATAATAAAATTGACTTTCTTCATTTTTTTTTTCTCATTTACAAGTCCTACATTGTAAGATTACTGAATTGAAGAATGAATACCTTTGTCATCAGGATCCCCAGGCCATTTCCCTGCTGTGTGCTTGAAGGTGCCTGCTTTTCCCTCACTCCTTTTCCAATCAGATAACACCCAACGGCTCTTCCATCCATCTGAAATAATCAACCAACTAAAGTAAAGTTTCCGAACATTGTGGAATCCAAGGTGAGGTAAAGGATGAAGATTATTATGATTACCTTCAAATCTCTCTTCGAAGAAAACCTCAGCGAGTGCAGAGTGAAGAATCAGAAGGAAAAGGAAAAGCTTGAAGAGATGGGTAGTGCTGCCATTGGCCATCTCATTCCCCACTGGAACTGCAACAAAAGTTGCTTCAGATTTCAGCTTAGAGTTGAGTTGAAAGGAGTCAAACAAACGAAGTTAAAATAATCGACGGTGGTGGAGTAGTACTTTCTAGAACACTTCCACGGATGAAATACTTTAAATTTATTTATTGCAAAACAAAACTACACTATGATGTCGATATCTTCGCTGTCGGAATATTAATCCTATTTATCGAAAATTTGACGCCGAAACAAACCAAAAGCTTTTTTACATGTCATTTTCACTCGTATTTGTAAGAATAAAATGTTATAATAAGAACAAAATAATATTTTCAAAAACTCAAAAATAGTAATACTTAACAAATATTATTGTAACACTTGGTATAGTAAAATAAATGACTATACACTTTTAATAATTATTTTTAATTCACTTTCTAACATTATTATTAAAATATCAATATTTATTATTATTATTATTATTATTATTTTATTCTAATAAAATTGAACATAAATACTTATGATAATAAAAATATAATTTAATGATTGAATTTACAATTTATTTTTTACATATTGTAAAAGTTATATATGTGTAACTTGATCTTTATATATACACTAGGAATACATATTTGTCAAATATTTTTGGATTAATAAAAAATATTTAATATAATAAAAAAACATTTATTATAATAAAAATAATTATCATAATTTAAAGGTAAAGTCGTAATAAATATTAAAAAAATTCTCATATTTCATAAAAATATTTTTATAAAAATTATAAAAAATATGTTTCCTACAAATTCAAATAATTTTTTATAAAAAAATTCATATAAAATGATTATGAAATATAAATAACTATAAAACATTGCCGTTTGTTATATATATAAACCGTAAAAAGCTATGCCTCTTCCTAAATTATTATACATTGTACCAATAAATTGTTCTTAGCAAATTTTTCTTTTATGTAAAAAAACTTCTTTAGAAAATAATAGTTTTAATTCAAAATATTAAGATATTACAAGTTTTCCTTTCTATTTTTCATTTGGCATGCGTTATATATAACTTTGCACGATGAATTGATAACCATACACTAGTTATTTGGAGGGAATTACAAAGAACCATAATCACAAAGATAACTTCTGCTTATATCTGTCCACTTTCTGTACTTTCATATGAGCAATTACTTAGTAAAAGGAAAAGAAAATCCTCACAAATCACATTGGCGACTGCCCCACAAATAATTAACACCTTATTCTACACCTCAGAACACATGCTGGATCTATGTACAAAAAAATGAGTGAAAGAAGAGAAATTGTTTTGAATAACTTCTGGTGACTAATATATCGTCACATGCCACCATAAATAATGCATCCTTAAGCTAAGTTATGTACCTATTCATCACTTTTTGGCTTTGATATCTGATGTTTGGATCCCAGGTGATGACTGTGATCCACCAGTGAGTGCAGCTGCAGCAGATTCAACATGTGTTAGAAGATATTCATATATCTTCTTCCTCAGCCTGTCAACTGTCTCTGCTGGTATCTGACTTGATTCTTCTTCATTCTTGCTTGATCCTATCTCATCAAGCCAATCATTCACACTTTTTAGTTGAGTGAGCATACCTGCTATTTGGCCATTATTTGACAAGCTAGCAGTGTCCCCATCAGAGTCCAAGAATCTCTCAACAAACATCAAAAACCAATCTCTGGACCTCAGTTGCAGCATGTCAGTTAAATCAGTCACTTCATCAAAGCCATTTCCTCTAACCCAATCAGGCAGTGATTGGACTAGTTGCTTGTGTCCATTTGATAACACCTCGCCTGCCTTGCGAGAAGTTCCTTGCAAGGTGTGTTTGGAATTAGCTGTCTGACGGGGTTTTCCATGAGATTTTGATGAAGTATCTTCACTTGAGTTTTCTATGACCAACATTGGTTTACTTCCCAGGATATTCTTTTGGTTTTGAGAATTGGTTGAAGCTGGAAGCCTGGATGATAGAGGTTCTCGGTTATAAACAGAAAAGGATGATAGATTGGTGGATAAAGCAGCCTGGACCCAAGAATTTGCACGCTTTTGTCTATCTGATTTGAGTTTTAGTGCTTCTTCTGTTATGGTTCTTTCATTTTCTGGAGAAGAATCATCTGGAATGGATTTGGATAGTGTGTCAGCAATCACCCGTGCACTATTTAGACTAGCATGAAGAGTGAAGAACTGCTCTATTGTAGGCTGCGGGTTTTGTTCCTTTGCAGAATTACTTAGCTCTGCATATACACTGCCAGAAACATTGCAAAAGAAATGTCAGAAAAATCTGGTATGCTGCATTGCAGGAGGTTGACACAGTATAATTCCTACTAGTCCATATAAGAATGGCTGTGGAAAACATGGATGGTTAACTCTATGGTTAAACCCCAATCTGGATGTATGATTCATTAATTAGATTACATAAAAAGGATTATATTACAATATTTTCAGCAGGCATGTGAAATGTGTACACCAATTGAACATAAAAGAAAATTGAAGTCATCCTCTTAACCGGCAAATATAGATCATTTTTAATTAACAGTTGAACAAGTGAACATTGACTGCTTTCATACACATTGTTCTTCGCTTTTATTCAAATATATCCAACAAATATAAAAAAAGAATAAGCCATGATTTTAAATGCCAAGGGTCATAGTTAAACAGCACACACACTTTTCTATCTTAGAAGTTACTAATTATTAGTATATTCTATGGACTTAGAAATAAAAGTTTAAATCTGTACCAAAAATCACACAAGAAATGATTAGCATAAAAAGATAAATGCTATAATATATAACACAATATAATGTAACTCCATATAACAAAATGACAAAACAAATCCATATGTAACAGCAATATTACTAAAGTTTAGTATTCAATTTGTTATCCCACATTCGTTCAGATTCCATAGTCATGTTTGTAGATCACATTTCTGTATAGGCAATCAACATGGCATATAATTCAGCAGAAAGTATCAACATGACTTCATTGGTATCAGTATAAATCACTTAGTTTTTGCCTATCCTCTAAAGGTGCTATGCTTCAATGGCAACACTTTTATCAAAAGGAACATAAACCATATACCAGTAATATATCTTGGTTTAAAGTCTAAATTTCAATTTCCAGACATGAGAAGTCCAAAATCTCAACTGTATTGAGAAGGACTAAAGTTCGGAAGTACTGATATGTCATTGAGAAGACCATAGGAGTTAAGTTATTCCTGTGAATATATTCATACCTTAGACATTGCAGCAAACTCTCAGCCGCAGCAGCCTCTTGTATAGCCTCAACTGCTGCCATCTGTGCCGCATCTCTGTGCTTCATCACTTCCTGTGCAGACATGAAAATATAAAATGATGATGAAACATTAGAGTAAAATAATTTCTTGTCTAAAGAGCAGGACCAACAAGAAAGATAATCTAATAAATAATGCATCCAGTGGGCAAGGACATGGTTTGAGAACATGCACAGAAAACATTTTACTATGGAAGACTTAGAAAACAAAAGAATAAACCAATGGTGTGATCCGACAGTTGACAACATACATATTATATATGCATTTATGATGTCACAAGAGTAGCTTCATAAATCTCATGATATTTATGTTTATTTGACGTTGCAAGGAAGCAAGGAAACAACAGGTTGACTTTGTCCCATTAGTATTCCCCCCCTGTAATGCCCTTAATTGAAAGTTGGAGACATGCCAATTGACCAAATGAGAATAAATACAAAATTTTCCAGTCATGACAGACAGCATATCTGAACAGTTTTTCATTTTTAACCAAATTCAAAAACAATCTAGTGTACGAAGCTCACATATTGGGGACGGTAGATGTACACAGCCTTACCGTCACAAGGTTGTTTCCAAGATTTAAACCCATTACGTCAGGTCATAGGAATCAACCTTATTGCTGCGGTAAGACTTTCCATCGGCTAAATTTTAAAAAATGACAGTGAAAAACACTGGTGAAGATGCGTATAATTATATTCAGCAATATATAATTGGCAGCAAAGAGTAAAAAAGCTAAAACTGGATGAAAAAAAGGTGTTTTAAGAGGACATACCCTGCCAAGCTTTGCAATAGATGATGGCAGTGAAGCCCATTGAACACTTGCATCTGTAACTTTTCTACTACTTAGAGAAACTTTCACCAAGTTTCCAGGGAATCCAGTGTTTGAAAATTCTGACGATTTTTTTCCGACTGAGACTCTTTGCTTGTTTGTCTTTTCTTGTTCTTCCATAGTTCCATTGGCAACAACTTTCTTTATAGATATTTGAGTCTTGTGCTCTTCCTTGGATGACTTTGTCTGCTGTTGCATCTTGCTCTCTTCTTTAGAGGACAACTTTTCACTTGACGTACTTCTCCTAGGAGTCTGGAACACCATAAATTGATAGTAAGAACATAAATGTTTGATTGACTCAGAAGATAAAGGTAAGTGAAACTGAAATGGAGATATCTTACGGTAGCACCACACTAATCATATACAAAGTAGTTAATATAATATTTTTTCAAGGAATGAAGGAAATTAAATATAAAAAAATTCTGTGATTTGAAGTTAGGAGCTGTTCAAGAAGAGAAAGTATGAATCACTTACCGAGCCACGAACCTCAGGCTTATGATCAGACTTGGCAGCCCTTGATTTGGATGTCTCTTTATTCTTGACTTCCATATTCCCTTCCCAGCTCTTACGCAGCACCTTGGCTCCAAGCTCAATTCCCTGAACCAAATTTCTGATCGGGTTTCCCATTGATATTCTCTTCCCGGTTGGACTTGCTCCACGGACTCCCTTTCCTATCTCCAACACTCCCACCTTGGCAGTTAGTTTATCCACGCCCTTGATATTAGTCTGATGCTTGACCCCATTGGCAAATTTCTCAAAAGAAGTAGGCAAAGAATAACAACTAGTGGGGGAAGAAGGAATGGCCCTTGAATTCAATGACTTCAATCTTGCTAATGGTTCCTTATTCACCTCAACAACATTGGCTGCCATTGCTTTTGTTGTCAGAGATTTACTCTTAGCAAAACTCGCTGGTTTCTTGTCTAGTGGCTCTTCACTATGCAGTCTTAATTTCTCCTTCTTCTCCTTCTCCCCAACATGGTGATTCCCCGACACTTTCCTAGGAGACTTGGATCTCTCTAAGTCCAAGGGACCAGAACAAACACTGTTCTTGTTAGCCTTAGAGTTACCAAGGAACCCAAGTGAGTGAGTTGTTGCAACAATGTCTTCAGGGGTTCCAACACAAGCGTGCCTCCCAGGAATAGGCCTAACCCCGTGAAGAATAGGAACTGGTGAAGCCGCCTCCAAACGATCCACAAAAACAAACTGCCCCAGTTGAATCTTGTCACTGAGGATGAGATCATCATGTTCATCAGGGAGAGAGACATAGGTGGCATGCAAGGAATCAGAAACCTTGAGATAAAAGCCTTGATTTGGGAACAACTCACCCCCTGCAAGAGCTGGAACAATGCTCACCACTTGCAACAGAGAGGACCTGTGCTCACCGGCAACTTTCACATCTGTGTTCATGTGCTGCATAAGTTTGAGAAGCACCCCAGGAACAAGATTGGCCATCTTCTGTTGTTCTGGCAGCAACAATATGCATCACTCTATTAATACCCAAATGGGGTTTTAAAGATAGGGGAAAAAACCAAGGAAGCGTTTTGCAATGATAATATAGAATTTTAGTCGTTTGCTACAGAAACTTGCAACTGATAGAATGCCAAATCTGAACTGAAACAATAAATGCTAGGCCTTTGGGGGATTCTACAATTGCAGAGAGGAAAATCTTGCAATAAAGTCTCAATCATAGACTATCCAAGTAAAGAGAAAATTGAATACATTGAGAAACATTTCAGATTTTGAAAAAGGAAGAAAGAAAAAGCCATAGTTTTGGGTAGCAATTTTTAATACTAGAAAAGAACACTGAACAACAAATAAGACACCAATAAGCTATCAAAAAGAATTCCCCAACCAGAGAATGAAGAGATTTTATATTCTGGTGAGTATCATTGGGTGGTACAGCTAGGACATGAGAAGGAGAACCTACCCACCTTCCTAGAAACACAAGCTAGACTGTGACAATCATAGAGCCACTGACAATTATATGAAGTCCAGAAATGAGAGAATTACTCCCCTTAGGAAATGGCTTGGAATTAGAGTCTTGTACATTTCACAATAATAATAACAGTTTTGGTTGTCCACACCACACTACACCAAGAAGTAAAATTTAAAAGCCATAAAAACACAATTCTTATGTGGAAGCTACCTTTATTGGCACTGTGTCATGTTAGAGAATGAGATGAGATTTAGAAAAAGCCTTAAAAGGTTTCAAGGAAAATAGGTAAGGGGGTATAATTGGCAGCATGCTTATTGCATGATTGATATGAAAAGATCTGACAGTGTCTGACAACTACATCTAAACACACATGCACATCAATTGATACAAGAATAAGAAACCTGAACTTGACCCACTTTTAGTCTTGGCTGAGTTACTGAATCACACTGAGAAGAAGGCTACTTTGATAAAATGAATCAAAAAGGGCAGTAACAGATTCTGAGAGGCACAAAGGGAGAATCTGTGCAGAGTTACCATTACTCAACTTTTTTATGCCCTTATTATTGTTTTTTTATTATTATTATTGTGTGTTGAATTATGATCAAGGTGAGAACTTTACAAAGAAAGATTCCAATTTTTTAATTGGTGAATGTATGAAGGTGCATGTGCGGGGTAAGGCGTTGTTGAGAACAAGGTAATGGTGTGTCGGCTACCTAAAAAAACAAGAGTCACGTTGTTGTGGATGTAGTTCATTATTTATCCAATGACAACAAATAAATAATTTTCAACATCAATTTTTAATCCCTATATATATTTAAGAAAAGTATCATAAAAAAATTGTTTTATAAAATTTTGATGAGTATTTTTAAACATTGATGAAAGAATTACAAATGAAAAATATTCAAAGATGATACTAGCACATTTTTACCTTAAATTTAATGCAATTTTAAGTAATAATAATATTATTATTATTATTATATGTAAATAATTCAATCCAAACATTTTATATTTTTTCTTAAGATCAAATAATATTTTTTTAATTTATTTTAAGATATACAAAGAATAATTTTTAAGTGTGTTCGTTTAAGAAGTTAAGAGGAAAAATAATTTATATATATATATATATATATATATATATATATATATCTTTTTCACAAATTCAAATTATAATTTAATGCAGTTAAATTAACCTTATTTCAAATGTCAATTAAAATATTTGTGATTGGTAAATAAACAAATTGTTTTAAAATATAATTAATCACATTTTTTTTATCTCTGACTATATCTAATATATAATTTAGAAAAAAATATGATTGTATAATTAATTGTATGTTGTGTTTGATAAATAAGACTTGGTAGACGGTGGAACCTAGGAATTTGGTAAGTAGGTTGAGTTATTGACTTGGTGTTACAATAACCTAATTCAGGAACCCACCATTTTATTATTATTATTCCAGAGGCAAAAAATTGTAACTTTAAATAGACTAATTGTGCAAATGTTACTACTTTCAATTGCAAAATGTTTCAATAAAATAATATATATATATATATATATATATTTTTTTTTCCTTCAACTAATTTTTTTATGTAATAATTCGAACTTATAAATTTATGTTTTTACTTGTATTTTTATCATTTTAATATATTACTTTAAATTAAAAAATTACTTAATAAAAATAATGATAATAAAATTTTTAAATTTATTTAATTATATTTTAGTTTTTAAAAATATTAAACAAACTAATAATGATCACAAAAATTCTCGAGAATAAATTTAAAATTATTTAAATAATTTTGTGATAATAAAAAATAAGTGATTTAATGTAATTATAGATAAAAGTATTTATATTTATTAATTAAAATATATTTTATTCTTATTTTTAATATATTATTTAAGATTAAAGAATTACTTAAAGAGAATGGTGAGGATAAAAATTAAAAGCTTATTTAATTTTGTTTTAAAAAATATATTTTTTGAAAATTATTTAAAAAAATAATAATAATCAATCATACAAGTTTTTGAAAATAATTTAGATAATTTTATGATAATAAAAATGATTAATTTAATATAATTATAGATAAAAAGTCCATACCTATTAATAAAAATATATAATATATTTTATCAATTTTTTATTTTTTATTTTTTAAAGCTAGAAAACACAAGTCTTTTAATTTTAAAAAATTAAAAAACCAAAAAGTATATTTAAAAAATAGATGTCCAAACTAGCTTGAAATAACAAAATCCACGTTTGATTATTTATATATATATATTATTGTTTTTTTAAATTATATTTTAAAATTATTCTGATGCCTTATGAGTTTAATCTCGTTTAGAAGATCATGTAAATGATAGTTTATAAAAAAAATATTAATCCAGTAAAACGTATAACATGTCAACTTAATATAAAATAAGAGATAAATTAATAATAAATATTTTAAAAAATATAAAATTAAAATTAATATAAATATTAAACTTCAACCTATTAAAATAAAATAATATGATAAAAATGGAAACAGAAGTAAAACAAAGTGGTTAGTTGCTCTAATTAAAAAGAAAGGTATAAAGTTTACACCCATTAGAATAACATGATTATCCAAAAGCAAAAGAAAAAGTCAATGGTGGTATTAAATAATTACAAGAAAGTAAAAGATACATTATCTCCGCTTTTCGTTCACTTAACTTTTAAACTTTAATTTAGCTTTTTCTACTAATCATCATTCAATTAGTTAACTAACTTCTTATAAAAAAAATTAGTTGACAAATTACCATTTTACAAATTATTACAATAATTATATATCATGCACTAATATATATTATAGAGTCTATAGACCCAGTTTTTAAACTAAAATCATAATTATATCAGTGAATACAAAAATTTATTTTTTTAATTTATATTATTTTAAATAAAATCTAATTTTTTAAAATTAATATTAAAATAATAATAAATAAAATGATTTTTTTAATAAAAAAATAAAAATAAATACAAAATTTCAAAACATAATGACAAGTTAAATAGTATTAAGAGATGAATACTTCAAAATAATAGTTCTATGAAGTTTTTTTTATTTAGGAAGGAAAGTGTCGGGTTTACATAGGTTATATAAGGCTAAATTTACATTTTAAAGTATTATTCGTTTTAAAATTTTTGTTTATTATGATTTTATTATTAAAATATTTTTTGGTGAATTAAAAAAGAAGGATGTATATAAATTATTATTGATTTTGACTTTTAAATGATACGAGATTCATCGAGTGTACCCAATATAAAATCCTAGTTGGGGACTAAGGAATATGAGTGAAACGATATTCTATTTTCGATCTCATAATAAGTGTCAATGTTCCGTCTAGTAACGAATATTTTAAACTCATTTTATGATAGTATTGTTAAGATTAATTTTCATGTCGAAGTATTATCTGTTTTCAGATCTATTATATCGAACTCTGCTAAATATTAAAAATAAAGAAAAATTTAAATATAAAAATAATGTTCAAGTCACTATAAAAATTAGTAATTTTGAAGAATTTTATTTTCTGTAAGAAATTTTGGAGTCTTCTGACAATTATTTAAGAGGTTTTTCTAATTTTGTTTTTTTAAGACTTCAAGTTTTTTTATTTTCACCTGGGAAAATATTTGTTTATTTGCTATTTTTAAATAAAAAAGAAATATTTATCCTTTTGAGTAAAAGATGTTTTAAGTCCTCTTTTTAATATTTTTCTAATTTTTTAATTCTATTAAAAGTTTTTTTACATGACAAATAAAAATAGTGATTTAAAAATTTGTTTAAGTAAAATATTTTATTCCCTTGTAAAATGTATTATTTATTAAAACACGTATTGTAATCTTGTTTATTAGATTAGTCTCCGTAAAATTTAAATAATTTTTTTAATCCAACTCTTTAACATCATTAATTAGTTGATTATGTTGGGGACATATGAATAAATAATTGATCTATCTTTTAGTGTGAGAATGAAGAAATTCTGAAATTTCCTTTGTGTCACAACACAAAGATAATAACATTTTTCATTGTCACCTTCACAATCTTCTACTCTAAATTAGATCGAAAAAAAAAATGTTTAGATTTTTATACGGATTAAAGTATAATACAAAAATTATTTATAAGGAATATTTTAATAAATAAGATATTTTACAAAAAAATATTATATTCATTTACCACTTCAACAAATTTTAACGGAGTTAAAAAGTTGGGAAAAAAAATCATGTTTATTTTTTATAACGATTAAATTTATATGAAAAATTCTATAGATAAAATATTCTATGAGGACAAAACACATAGTTTACCCTATTATTTTAAAAATAACATTAAAAAATGGTTATAAATGAATTAAAAAAAATTATATAATGTGAAGGATAAAAGAACAAGAAAATATATCTATGCGGTTACACAGACTATTAATTCCCTTATATTTAAAAAAAATGTTATAAAAATGTTTATAAATAAAATTAATTTTAAAAAAAGTTATATAATATGGAAGATAAAAAAAAGTGTAAAAAAATTTACAACCAATCATCTATCTATGCTTTCAAGTTAATTGTATTAAATTATTATTAACTTCATCTATAGTAACTATATTCATTTGTTTAGATTATCGTCTTGCCTAATATGTTTATTATTTATCGTATAATTATATTAAGTAATTAATATTCTTAACATGAGACAATATTATGGAAAAAAATTACAAGTAATATTCTTATTCAATGTAGAAGTACAAACAATCCCGGAAGGAAGTAACAAATTTCACGTGATGTAAGATGATGTAATAATGAAGGGTGAACAAATGTTACAGGGAAACATCAACAAGTATAAAAATCTAGAAAGATATACTAATAAAAAAAATCTAACTTCAAAAAATATAACTTGTAAACTAATAATATTATAAAATTAATAAGTAACTTTTAAGTTTAATTAACTTTGTAACATATCTATTATCCACACATAATATTATAAAATTGATAAGTAACTTTAAGTTTGATTTTAAAATAATTGTAGCATATATATTATCTGGACATGATAACTTAATATCATTATCACTTTCTTTTGGTTTATTATCCATAATTTGTTCAGGTTTCAAACTCAATTTTAGTAACATGAGGATTATATTCGTCATAAATTTAACCCAATACGTTAAGATACGAAGTGAGAGTCATAGATAATATCAATAAACATGTTATTTGAAACATGTTTAAGAGGATTCATGACATGTCGATAAAATCCTTCATTTTGCATCAAACATGTTCCATTGGTTTCTTTACCTTGGAGTTATTTGAAACGATTGGATATATAATGTTATTGGCTTCTTTAACATTCGTCTCTTAATTTTAATATCTATCAGTACTTGGTATTATTTTCAACCTCCCGCTGACTTTAAAGGCACCATGAGATGATTTAGTCAGCAGCATGAACCATAAACGTGACCGGTTAAAGAATAGACAGAGGGATTAGCCTTCTAATATATATATATATATATTTTTTTATATTTCAAACTAATATAGTGTTAATTATATAAATATTTTTAAAATTTGTATTCATTAATTAACATAATAAATCAATAAAATTACTATATTTACATTTAAACTTAATTTACTAGCATTTGTAATTTAAATTATAATATAATAAAAAATATATAATTAAATAATAAATTTTTCATTTTAATTTTAATATATAAATATTTTTTTTAAAGTGAATTTACCTATCTTATCCTTGATTAGTATTGATATACTATCAACCCACCTATCAAATTAAGACGGGTTAAAGGGTGAATGCACTAAATCTAACTCATTTGATCATTGTATTATCATTTCATGCCAAACAATATTTTCAAAGACATACCTAAGATTAATCGGTTGCATTAACTATCTCAAGGATAAACAATATTTTTAAAGACATACCTACTAATATTTAATTAGTTGCATTAAATTTTAATTAATTGTTTTATTTTAATGGTGTGATTTTCAAAGCCCATTTGTTTCTTAGACTCATGAATATGACATATTTTCTTATCAATTTTCCGGACTTCAGTCAACGTTTTGCAAAACTCAATTTCCTATGCATGATGGATGGAAGGAAATATTTTATCCTACGAGGAAAGGTGGTTTTGAAATGCAAACAATTAGATCCTTGGGACTCTTACAACCATGAAAGGCACATGAAAAGGAATCCAACCACCATACATATACATGATGATGACTAAAGGCTAAAACAAAATACATTATTATCTTCTGAGATTTAACGAAATACATACTAACTTCTTCCTTTAATTTATAGGATAACATAAAAAAATCAGGATGTTGCTATTAAGGAGAAGGGTAAATGCTACATTGTTATTTGGAAATTGAAGATAACAAGACAAGGAAAACGACAAAAATTACAATATCAGGAAGAAAACTCCCCTAGCATGCATAATAACTGCAATGGTATGGTTTCAATTTCAACTCTGAAAATGAGCTCCTGAGTTTGGCCCCGCCTTGTCTAAATAATCAGCACAGGAATTCCTCTCTCTTTGTGAGATGAACCACATTTATCTCTCAAGTTATGAGAGTGACATATTTTTACACGGGTTCAGGGTTGCTGTATTAATGAAACTGACAGCAATGAATCAGATACACAGTGCACTTACCCATTCCCAACAATTAATTTCATTAAATCTTACAAAATGTGAATGTAATTTGTCCAACAATTAAAGCTACAAACATTCGCTATTCTAAATGAAGACTAAGGAATAAAATTTCCCCATACTCTTCAGGTTCAGAAAATTACCTTGCAATATATTTTAAGTTCTATGTCAAACCTAGGAGGCTAGGACACCTTACCATAAATCTAAAGACAACGGTGAATTTTATTAGGTGGGTCAAATTATTGGTACATAGTATATAGTACATTTGCTTTTTTAGATTAGAATTTCGATTCGTTTTGTTGCAAATTTCTTCCTTCCAAGTTGAGTACAAAATTAGATTTCTTTCTCTCTTCATAATAGGTATGACCCAGAATATACTTGGATGAGACATTCCTCAAATTCCACTGGTCAAATTTTCATTGAAGGCTAGGGAATTGAGCTTTATCACACCCAAAATTGTACAGCTCGGTAATTTTAAGCAGAGTGGGTGAGAAAAGAACATCTTAATTTACAGACTAAATTCTCCTCCTATTATCAACCCGTTGTTTCTTTGATGCAGATCCAGCTTGTAAGTGCTCACCACTTGATCGAATCTATATGAAAAGAAGAAGAAACTATTTCAAACCTAAACACAATGAATAATTCTTTAACATATTATGCAGTAGGAAACATCACCTTATCAAGCTTATCCCGCACAAGATTCACTGTTTGATTCATGGACGGTGAAGCAAAATACTCCTGGAAATAAAACATGTTATTATGATATAATATATGAAAAGCAAGTGTCCTTTTTTCTTTGCATATAATATCCTAGTTAGAGCAAATCTATAAGTCTATATTAGTTTGGGAAACTATAATATCAGATCCACCAATCAAAGCCCTAACACATTGCAACAAAGCTAATACCTATAAAAAAAACTTCCATTAGAGAAATGATGAATGCTGAACATTTGAAAAATACAACTGCATATAAGGGTCTTCCGATTGGTCCAAAAAATAAAGACAAGAAACTTAAAATTTTCTGAATAATCACAAACAAATATTCTAGCAAAAATTAATTGCAGGGAAGAATTCGATTCATTATTCCCTTCAATTCAAGGGGAGAGAGTTAGAAGACTAGCGTGAAATTTTAATGTGTATATAACAAAAATCAACAAACCTCATTAGAGGAAATTCTTCTTGGAAAATTACCATTGTGTGAACCTCCTTTGAATTCTACATCCCTACAGCGGGAAAAGAGAAAGAATTACAAATGTTGCCTCAGCTTCAACTGAAGTCTACGAATTGCAGAGCACAGACAGAACAAATTACCTTGCATTAGAATCTAAATGTTGGGCACAATTGGTATTTGATGTAATCAGAGCGTTAGAACTTGTAGCTGAGGTCTCTTTAGATCTTCTAGCTGATGTCACCGGGAATGTATAGGTTTAGAAATGTCATTACAACAATTATTCATATAACAAGCATTTATGCATACTATGTAATATGGTTCTAACTTACGATTCAATCGTGCTAAAACCTCCCTTCTTCTTCCCTCTAATTTATCCTGTGTGTCTGAAAGGCTCTCGAATTGAGGGGCATATGAAACCTGCAGTTTATTCCCGAAGAAAACAAAATCATCCAATTTTCTTTTTGCAAACCTGAAAATTATAGATAGCAGGTACTCCCTCAATTCAACCTTCTCAAACATAACATTAAGAAATGCTAATATCACACTCCTCTATAACACTTTTTTTCTTCTCAAAGCTTCCCTTATTATAGGGTAAAATGCACACCGATTCCACTGAAAAAAAAATGAGATCCAGTTATTTAGTATGCTCCACTTGAATTTTAAGAAAATTATAAACAGTTTTAACAGCCGCATATTGCAAAAAATGGTTGAACTCCTATATTCATCCGCAATGCAATATTGCTATCACACCTCAATTTAACAACATTGGTTTGGAATTTTGATAATAGTTTGTTACTATTGTTCATCCTATATTTTATAACAGAAATACTTCATCTGGCAATAGAGAACAAAATGAAACCTGGCATTGCTCACAAGGCGGAATTTGATCCAATAGATATCAGTGTATTTCTCACAGTCAGCTGCATCCATGGGCTTACACCTGCAGATAAAAACACTCAAAATAAATTGATGGATAGAGTTAAACAATAAAATAAATAAATGAATACACAAATTGCCAAGTGATGAATGAATTTACTCCTCGACTTCTCCATAGGATGAAAAAAGTTGCAGCAAATCATCACCACAACCTAATTCAGGAATATTCCTCACAATCAAATATCTGCACCCTCCAAACCAAACAATTCATTTTTTTTGTCACAAAAAACTAAATTGATTTGACGAAAGAATAGAAAAATCAGGACCTGGATTCATCACAGACAGTGTAAACTCGAACTGCAGGGGACTCGTCCTTGTAACGAGGCATTTGGGAACTATTTGTTCAAAGGAAATTAAAGAAAAAAAAAAAAGGTTGATAGGAAGAGAGATTAACGGCAATAGTATAAACTAGGGTTAGGTTAGGAAATTCAGAAATTGAGGGATCAGGTAAGGGTTTAGAACCCAACAATTTAGGACAATCGATTGAGGATAGGAATTAAAAAAAAAGTATATATATATATATATATATATATATATATATATATATTTAATTATATTAATATTTTTTAATTATTTATATATTAATTAATATTTTTATTAAATAAATTAAGATAATTATTATATATTTAATTAGTTAATATTAATAATATAAATTTAATTAATATTTATAATTTAAATTCTATATTATAATATATTTAATAATTTAATAACCTAATGTGAAAAATTATAATATTTTTAATTATATTTTAATTTTAATATATAAATATAAAAAGAAAAACGTAGATTTTTGTATTCTAATTAAGAGCATGACATGGCAAATTTTAATTAACCCGATAACAAAAAGATATTGCGATTTCTTCTTCTAATTGTTATGTTTGCTTGCATTTGTATTATATAGAAGGTAAAGTTTTGATATCTAAATTTTCAAAAGCAAATTTATTTATTTGTATTCTTATAGTAGGGAAAGTCAAATTTTTAATAATAATGTAAACTTTAAAAAAATATTTAATAATTTTAAAGTAACAAAACTTAAAAAAAGAAGAAGTTGTAAAATAATTTTTTATTTATTTTAAAAGGTATATTAAAATAAAATCAAATAAAACTAAATCATTTTTTTACGTTTAATTTGGTGATTATTTAATAAAAATTAAATTAAATCGAATTGTAAAAATTCTATAATCTTTTATATGTGACTAGATATAAAATAAAATAATTTTGCCTCCGTATATCCTTTCTCAACAATTACTTCGATTATAAAGCTAAAAAATATTACCTAACAATTTTAAAGTCCTTTTAAATCAGAAATTGTTTAAGCAATTTTTTTTTTAACTTTCAGAATTATTTTAAATTAAATTAATTGTCTCATCCAATAGAATAATATATTAAATAAAGTGTATGTATTGATAACTAATGAAAATATTTTAAAATTCTATTATTACTCAGTAACATATGTAGAAGATAAAAAAAATTATTAATATCAATACATGTTAAAAAGATTATTCAATATTATGAGTAATACATTTTAAACAAATTACTCAAATAAAATTTTTATTAATTTATTTACTAAATTATATCTATTTATTATTAATATACAAAATTAAATTATGGAGAATAAATTATCTGACAAAAAAATATATTTTTCTCTTTCTTTATTCATTATCTTAATTTTTTTTCTCCCCTCCTTTATTCATTATTTTTATTTTTTATCTCTTACATTTACTCATTATTTTATTCTTTCTTCTCTTATTATCTTTTATTTTTTTGTTTTTTCTTTTTACTTTGTCTTATTTTTCTACTTAAAAATACTATATTAAAATTTGATAATTTTTTATATTAAAATAATTTTTTTCTTAAAATCTAACATAATAAAATATTTATTTTAAAGTATTTTTTATATATTTTTTAAATTACTTAATCCGATTAATTATAATAGTTTACTTAATTACAACTAGATTAAATTACTAAATAAAAAATAAATTTAACTTATAAATATTTGATATTTTTTAATTAATTGAGTAATTGATTATGATAAAATAATTTTAAATTAATTATTTATTGTTATTATAAATAAATTATTTATTATCATCATAATTAATTGATATCTCTTTTAAAATTAATTTTAAAATTATTTAACACATGTTTAATAAATTAAAATCTAGTAATTTTAATTAAAAGAATAAGTGAGAGATAAAAAAGAAAAAGAAAAAAAAAGGACTAGTAAGCTTGGAAATAGGAAAACAAGAGTCAATGTGAAAAGAGAAAAATAAAAATAAAGAAAGAGTAAAATGAAAAAAAATATTACATATAAATAATAAATAAGTCATTTAAAATGAAAATATTTAAGATTCTAAAGGTTAATTTATATTATGAATATTCCAATAAATTTCTCTATGTGAAAATTATTAATGTTCTATTGCTAGCTTACTTAGTTTGATCATTTAATATTATTATTGACCAAATATGCCATAAGAGCCTCATTAAAATTAATTTTAAATAAATTTGTTAATTAGATTCTTTAATATATCCAGCCAACTCTTTTTATAATAAGCATGAGGGTTTTTACTCCAATATCATCTCACAATATCACTTACTTAACTTCATTTTCAACTTAGATTTTCTAAAAAATTGTACAAAAGTTCAAAAAGGAATTTTTTACCCTACTCTATATCTACTCATAAAAGTAAAAGGAAAAAAGATAGATAAAAAAGAAGAAAACTTCATACTTTCTGTAAAAAAAAAAGTGTACACTTCATTCCTATGTTCAGTTCTTGGAAGTTGCTATCTGCTAATTTCTTCAAGACTAAATAGACTACGATTCAGAGATTTTGGTTCATTGTGGTTAATCTCTAAGCTGCTCCAGAAATTCTATCATTTGTCATGACAAGATAGCATTATACAGAAGAATCCGAATGATGATAACTACGATCTAGGCAAGCCTTTATTGGCCATAGCACAACAAACAACACCATGATCCCTGCAAGAATCACCACTGATGTACACGTCATGTGAGAAAATTTCCTCATAGGCTTGCAGTGTTTGAGAATGATTTGAGAGAATGCGTCTTTTACTAACTGGCATTGTATCAAGTATTCCATACTAGGATACATATTCAATATGCTCTGAATTGAATTTGTGTAAGTCTCAACTACTTGATATTCACCAACACTTATGAAATCTTGACCAGTCCCACATTTTTCATAATTATCACTAAAACAAGTATAAGGCTTCAATACCTATAAAACAAGATTAGGGAAGTGTTAGTAATCATAGATAACAAAAGTAGAATTATATAACTGTAAAGCAAGATTATGGAAGAGACTTAGTGTTAGTGATTCCCTTATTTGTGGCATACCTTCGGGATATCTCCTATTAGAATACTACTTGGTTGGCAAAGTTCTGGCTGATACGAATATTCTGGTGGTGCTGAGAAAGGATCGCATAGATAAGTTCCATCTGGAAGCAAAGACCCCACGTTTGAATTCACCTAGAGTTTAGCCACAGAATAATAACATTAACTCATTTTCAGATTATAATGAGATACAAAAATTAACTCCTTTTGCTGTCACAAATATTGAGAATTATTGTACTCCAGTTTTGGCTGAATCCATTGATTCATAAAGCACAAGTTGTTGGAGAGTCCTTTACACATTGCACACAGAGTTTTGGATGTATATCCACATGTTCTCTCTTTCTGAAGTAGTCTAATAGGGACTTGTTCTAATTTATCACCTCTTGAGAGTTATTTTTCATAAGAGCCTAATATCCCTTACACTCGGTTTTATATTTTATGGATAATCATGTTATTGGTATAAACTATCAAACGCTGACGACTGATTTCTGTCAAAAACCTGACAAGCCACCTCTAGTAAGGTATCTCTTTCCACAAGATTCAAACACAAGACTTTGCATAAGGAGACCGAATCCAGTGCTGGAAGCAACGACATGTTGGTTCCTTAATTACCCTGAGTTTGATACACATGAACATGACCAAATAAATATTAGTCCTCTGTGACATCTTAGCTCTATTGTGTTGAATTATTTTGGAAATCCACATGTGACTTGAAATCACACGTTAAATAGAAATAAAAAAATTGAGTAATTTGTAATAGAATAAGACCCATAACTTATGCTTTTAAATTTTGGATTGAAGATAATATCGTATTCTTTTATATAGTTAATTTGTATCCTATTTTGTATTAGCCCCATTCAAAATGACCTTCCAGATTAAACACCAACACACTATGAATAGTATAGAAAAATAAGTGATACAAGGGGAAAGAAGAAAGATAAATGTTAACTACACAATCTCTAACATACTCTTTCCAACATAATTTTTAATTGGTTGAAAATTAGTATAACTTATAATTTTTTTGCAGATCACACTTTTTCTTGGGCAGTCTCTTCTTATTGTATAGTTTTTAATAAAGTTATACCGATAATAATGGGTGTTAGATGGATAGAGCAGTTGTTGCTAGCAATCCTCGAGAAGAAATTCCTGTTTAAGACTATGCAAGGTTACCTCATAGACTATTTTGGAGATCCCTGCAGCAATTTTATCCAGAATTGATTTTGCTGAGAGCAATTCACCACAAGGGATGGTGGAGGATAGGGTGTTGTTGTAGGGATTTTCATCAAAGTTATGAAGAACTGTGCACGTATCATTAGAAAAACTGCAGAAGAGGGTAAGCCATTTTAGAAATTAAGCTCCAACTTCACCCCACTAAACATTTTATAACAGGAAAAGTGTTGATATAAGTAGAGAATAAATATAACAACCAATGAATTGGAAAGAATTTGGTTATACTTTTCCAAGAAGATATACAATCCGAGGATTAGCCAGATTACCACCGTCAACAACCAGCACATTATAACAAATCTGAGAGAAGAGAGGAAAAAATATAGAACCAATAATACATGGATGAAAATATTAGTCCCAAGCTTAGACAATTCAGTTTACCTACACGTAAAATGGCCTCCAAAGCATCTTTACTCCAAAAACTGTACACCAGAAAATTCCAACATGTTATGAGAATCATGCCTAATTCATGTGGACATAAAAAAATCTAAACAGGATACAGAGGTTTGGAATTGTCATGGATGTTAATGTTGAACTCTTAGTCAGTTGGTCAATTTAATTAGTTAGTTTATAAGCATTTTCAGTTTTTTAGTTACTAGTTTAGAAACTGGTTTTATGTAACAACCTAAATGTTATGTATCATCATATCATTATTAACCAGTTCAACATACCTGACAAAACTGGTGCTGCAAGTAAATTCAAGGTTAGGATTAGAATGGTCAATACAAACCTGAAGTTAAAAGCATCCAATCATTTCCATGCAATTAAGAATTCACTTACATGTTTCCAAATGAAAATAAGAGGCAGAAAATTCTTACAATACTCTGAAAACAATGTTAACAGTGTGCCTATATTTCCAAGTTTTCTTTATAACATCATCAACAGTATGATTCAATTTATTGGCTGTGGAGTTAAGTTTTGCAGAAAACTCAGCACTAATGTTGGATTCCCAATCTTTTTGGACGTCTTCTAGTACTCTTGTTGCATTGTGTACTATTTCTGTTGCATCATCTGCTATCTTGAGAATAATATTAACTGAAGTCCTTGCTTGAAAATTGTATTTTGAACTCCCAAAATAAACTACCACACTAGCAACCCTAAAAAGAAAATTACACACTAACATGGTAAAATAACAAAATCTTATTAGATACCTACATAAAATTATTTACATTAACTATGTGTATAAATTAAAATCTTTTTGTTGCATGTTTCAAAATCAGTTTACTAAAGATTGTCTTTCTATTTTGTCATATACGTAGTGCACATGTTGCAACAGTATAGAGAACCAAAAATCAGCTCATACTATATCTATAGTGTATGTATGCAGAAAGGTTTAGAGACTTACAAGATTAATATGATGAACGATATAGCCAGGGGAATTGAAGAAAAATGAAAACTCCTACTACTGCAGGGAAAAATTTTCTTGATCCATTTTCCCTCATCATGACTTCGGCAACAAAACTTGATTATAAGCCAAAATAAACCCCACATTATTCCACACAAAAGCCAGAACAGCCCTATTGCATATCCATATATTCCTGTGAAGACAACTGACTACAAATATTCAAGAGGAGTTAAAAAAATATCAGATGTTAGGATTAATTAGACTCAGAAAAGAAGGAAATGGTAGAAAGGCTTACAGTCCAATAATGGATATTGGTGATGTCAAATCCTCCTCTGTATTTATTAAAATTATCTAATGGATCTACTCTAATAGTTTTGTCCTCTGTTTCAAATAATTTGCTTGTGTTAGGACATTAAAAACCAGGATACACCCAGGTAGGAGAAACAAGATATATACAGAATCATATTAGATATCTTCTGATAGCATTTTTCTTTTATATAATCATATTTTTGGCATTGACTTTGCTGATGATTAATTTCTCATTTAGTATTTGATCAATATTAGTAGAGTCTTTTCTCTTATTCACGTAATTTTTTCGTTCACAAAACTCAAATCTTAAGCCTAATTTAAGAGCACAGTTAGTTCTTTAATATTAAAAATATCATGAATTTGTATTTCAAAAATACTAGAACATATAAAAAAGAATATGAACAGATAAAGAAAATCTTACTTTCCATTTTCCATTAGGTTTATGCAAATTCATGACTGTGTTGCTATTTATGCAGCCCATTTCATGATGCAAGACAATAACTGTTTCTTGTATGCAGCCCATACTATAACATCTTCATTTCTAACAAAGCTTGATCACATGCTGTCATTCTTGTATGCATTGTTCATGTATTATAATATCTTGATTTTGACAATTGCAAAAAAGTTGGAATGATAAATAATACTAAGATTGAAGAGACTTTTCACGAAAGCATTTTACGTTACCTATAACGAAATTATTGGTGGAGACTACGCGTGCCACAATTTGGGGGAGAATGGCTATACTCACAATAATATATGCTAGGCCAAGCGTGGTGCCTTTGGGGATAGCCATCTTTTAACATGCAAAGCCAAACAAGAAGCATATTCTGCTTAGCAAATATTTGCATGCTTGATGACTAGAGACTGATATAGTTTAATGCAGTTTATATAAGTTTATGTATACATACATATATATATATATATATATATATATATATATATATATATATATATATATATATATAGATATAGATAGATAGATAGATAGATATGAACCAAAACCATTGTTGTATCAACACAAAAGCTTCATGTGTATTACATTGCAAATTTGCTACCAACTTTGCATGCATGCATGCATGGTGTAATGATCATTTTGAGACCATTTTAAAATAACAAGAACATGGCTGGTCACAAACTTACAATGAAAAATTGTTACATACATACATGCAGTGTTTTGGATTGACTTTACCTGAAGAAGCAGTAGATGAAAAAGGATATGGCTTTTCACAATTCACATGCCATCTTTTCTAGTATTTCTAGAAGAGAAAAATTCTCCAATTCCAACTTGAGACCCTTTAGATTTTTGTCATCCTCAACGTAGAAAAAGTAAATCGAAAACCATTGAGTATAGGGAAAAATATGATGAATCGTGAGAACAGAAACTGTTATCAGTTTGCTTGAAATGCATGGTATTAGAAGTTTTACCATAAAAAAAGTGGTATTGTTTAACACCATGACTTTGTATATGCCAAATTGTGAAGTCCAAATAAAGATTTTTCTTCAAGTCTAATAATACCATCGTGTTCAAATTTATTTAAGAAAAAAAATGGTATTTAGCACTCTTAATTACTTTCACCTACGAAGGGTCGTATGATACAGAAATTTAAGAATATAATTGCATAATTTTATATCCATTTGGTGAGTAACTTTCTGAAAAAAATCCTAATAACTTAATAATTATGTATTAGAAATTTTAAAAAAATCTAATTTATATTTGTCTAACGTTAAAAAATAAAACACTTCCTTTTAAGGTTCATGAGAGATAATTTAAAATAATAATAACTTTTTATGATTATTTTAAAAAACTAAACATATATGTAGGAAGAAATATTTCAAAATAATTTAAATTTTTTTTAATTTTTAAAAAAGTAAAAACTTTTTTGTAATTATTTTGTTAAAATTGTTTTTAAGTGTTAAAAACAAAAAAAATCAAAATTGATAATTTTTTTTTGTCTTTAGTATGAGTATTGTTGTACTATATCACTCGCTTTTTGTTATAATTAATATAATTTTAATTTTTTAAATTTATGAATTAAATTAATATTCTAAAATTACTTTAAAATGGATTTTTCTTTTACTTTTTCAAAATAAAAATAAAGTAAAGAAAAATATAGTTTATAATTATTCCAATGATCGTTTAGCCAAATAAAATTATATATAGAATAAAAAAACCTAGAAATTAATCTAAAATTACTATTAACGAAAAAAAAAACTACTAAATATTGTTTCCAATTTTTGAATGTGAGAAATTAAAAAAAAATTATTCCTAAAATTTTTCAATTTATTAACTAAATTATTTCTTTTTTTTATTACTTCTCAAAATACTTTTTAGTGAATTATGTTGTTAAAATTTAAATACATTAATATAAAATTATATTTTTTATAAGAAAAAAAAGTTATCATTGCTAAACAATGATTAATTATTTAATTTTTATAGATGATTTTTCATTTATAAATATAATATTTTTATTTTATATTTATTTTATAGATGTTTTTAAAACTGGACTATGAATTTAGAATTTAAAAATTTGATCGAAATTTAACAAAATTTCATAAAATAATATTTTATAATATAATAAATATATAATAAATTTATTAGTAATAATATTTTTTATATAAAAAATAATAATAAAAATTATTGTCAGGTTGTAAGTTATAATAAAAGTTATAAATATAAAATATATTAAAGAATAAAAAAGAATAATTATTAAAAATAAGATAAAAATATAATAAATTTAAAGTTGATGTAATTAATATGTGATAAAAAAAATTAAAATATATTATAACTTTTATAAAAAATTATAATTAAAAAATTTGTTTTTAAATATGTTTTTTACAAAACTGACTCAAAATTTCAGCCAATTTTTTTTGATTTTAACGATTTTGTTTCAATTTAATTAAAATTTGATTATTTAAAAATAATAAATCGAATTCTAATTCGGTTTCTAGTTTAAACCGGTCCAATCCAATTTTTAAAACAGTATTTTTTTTTCAATAAATGTCATTCACATATAGATCATTGCAAAAGAACTTAAACATAAAAGAAAAAAAAAACCGTTCTACAGAGTGAAAAAAGCAAAAGTTAAAAAAATGGAAAAGAAAATAAAATTAAATAAAAGTAAAAAATAAAGACAAATGCTAAATAATTTGAAGAAAAAAAAGACATAATAAATTTTGTAAAAATATAAAATAAAATATACATAAAGTGAAATATTCTGTAATATTTTATAATGACATGAGAATGTACATGAAATAAGTAACCCCATCATTGATAAACAAAATTATAATATTTATTCAAAATGAATTACAATACAAAGTTAAATAAGTTATTAGGAAAATATATATTTAAAATTTTACATCAAATTCATATTTGGTAGTTGTTTCGTTGAGTAAATATAGAAATGTCTCGTAGCTCCAGTGCAGAATTTATTTTCGTGTATGGATTCTATGGTTAGCACCAGGTTTTAGATAACAAATCCACATTCCAACTAAATAATCTTTTTTATTTCCTGGTTCTTTTCTTGTCCTATATTTTGGTATTGAAGCACATAAAATTCTACCATCTTAAATTAATTAAAAACATAAATTAAAAGGATATGCGTTAGAAAAGTTAGTGTCTTATAAAGATATAAAATTACTCAATAAATTTTATTATTTAAGAATATTGTAAAGGGTATCAACAAATATCAAATATTACCTGTCCATTTAAATTATATTGAAAATACCAATATGACATGAACATGTCATATAACCACTTTTTATTATTGGGATGTTTGTTTTCTTGACTTTAGGAGAGTTGTTGTAATCAATTATTGGAATAACATATTCTACCTATAACAAATTAAGAAATTGATACTCGATTCATAAAATTAAGAAATTGATACTCGATTCTTTATGATAAGGTAATTAATTAGATACTCTTTTGATTTATAATTTCATTTAAATTCATAACTAGTATATTGAATAACTATCTACCTCACACTCATCAATTGTTATATAATTATTTAATCTTACAAAGTTTAATCAAGTATATGAAATTTGAGTGGTATTTTGTGATTATTCCAATTGACTAACCTTGTTTTGAGAAGTTTCCAAAATAGGCTTAACTCGGATGATCCAAAAAATAGGCAAAAAAATTTATGACCTAAATTGAATCTGTCCTATTTAGATCATGACCTATATTGATTTAGGTGTGACTAACCCGTAAATTTATGGGTTTATCTATTTTATAGAATACTAATAAATTTTAAATAAAAATAATATTATTTTATTAATATATATATATATATATATATATATATTATATAAAATTAATTTGATAGAAAATAACTTATTCTAATAATAAATATCAAAATAAATCTTTAATAATAATTTATTTCAAGATATAATGATTAAAATTAATTACTAATAAGTTTTTAATTCTTATTTTGATATTGAATGGATGCGTTCTCTTATCATTTATATATTAAATCATTATATCTTAAATAAAAATTAATTTCATTCTTAAAATTTAAATTTTCAAAATATTTTTTTATTTTTATTTTTATTTAAATATTTTTTAATTAATTGATTTTGTATAGATATGTCAATTTTTTATAAATTTAATCAAACCAAAATTGGTTTATTAGCTCATTGACCTAAAATAGGGTCAAGTTAGGCTAATATTTTTAGCTGATTTTAAAATATAGGTCAAATTAAGCCATCAAAATTTTTTAATAGGTTTCTAAGATCAAGTCAGGTTGGGTTTAACTGCTTATTTTGTCAACTTTAATCTTAAGAAAAACTTTCTTCTTTGACCACGGAACCCTTTTCTTAATATGCACTATAAGTTATATTGACAACAAATTAATTCTCCTTTGTAATCTAAGGATATATGTTCTTTGTGATATTGTAAAAGTCTCTCGAGATATTTAAAAGATTACATTTACATTTTGTACAATATGTACCACATGTTTTGCTTTATACTTGTTGGATTTCCTAATTCAAGTGCAAAAGGATACCATTCTTTCTTTCATATTTAAGTCATTGCGAAGGCCATGCGATTGTTCCATATAATGTGACAAAGTAATATTTTCAATGAATTTGGAAAACCGATGAAGGTAATAGTTTTACACGTAAAGAATTACCATCTTCATTAACTAGTCCAACATCAAAACTCTTGATTTTATACTACCTTTTGGAATTTTAATATAAAAAAGAAAAATTCACTGAAACTTTTTCTGGTCCAATTTAAAAAAATTTAGACAAAAGTAGTAGACTTTACATGTTTTTCTAGTTCTAGACAACTTGAATATGTTGTTAATGACAGAAACACTAATGTTAATAATGAAATTATCGTCATTTTAGTAATAGTTCTCATATTAACTGCACATGAAACATCGATTAGTTATAAAAATAGGTGTAAAGCCATTCTTCTATATAATATTATAATATTGAAGTAATTGAAAGAAATGTATCAAAATATCTAAATTAAATAAAATTGAAATAGAAAAGTTAAATATCATTGACAATAAGAAAAAAGAAGTTACAAAGTACATAAGAAAAAAGATAAAATGATCACCATGACAAAGATTGGCTGTAGTTGAAAGTGTATAATTGTTGAATTTCTAAAGTAGTAAATTACATGTTTATATACTGTGAATTGTTCAATAATAAATGTCCTAAATAAATATGAAATGAATACAATTGGTATTGTTTCTATTTATTGAAAATAAAGAATTTTAAACCCTAATTAAAAAGCATATGTAGCTATGTTTACAATGTAAACAACTATTAGGTGCGTGATTGTGTAATAATTATTTGTCAACTTTTATAACTATTTATAGATATAATGATAGTATAATATAATAGTTTGTTTCAACAAACTTGAAACAGTTATTTTTTTTTTTGTTCTTTTTAATTAGAAAATATTTATATAATAGAGATTTTTTAAATTTAAATAACGTGATTAAAATGAAGTTTATAAACATTTCAAACACATAATCAGTTCAATATGCAGTGAAAATATTTAATTTCAATAACGTGATTGAGATCCAAAAACAATCAGGGATTCAAAAGACACGTACATAAAACACTAACCTTAAATATACAAAAAAACGCTCTAAAATTCGAATTCAATTGGAGAGAAATGTCAACCGTCACAAATGGGATACACAATGTAAGTATTTTCGTTACTCACTGTCGTCGAAATGTATCTTAAGAGGAGCTGGTTTGGTCGGTGTCGCCATCGTCAATAAAAAACGCTCATGCATGAGGAAAAAAAGAAAAGTGATTAAAACGTGATTTTTACGTCGGACCTCAAAGGACTGACGTAAAAGCGTCGGTTAGGGAGCCACCCGACGTAAAAAAAAAAAAACTTTTACATCAGTCTTTACGAGATCCGATATAAAAGTAGCGTCCCTTATTTATAAAAATGTCACCGCATTTTTTTTAAGTTAATTATTTTTTTATCCGACGAGAATTGGGTAACATAAAAAAAACTCATTTTGTACTAGTGTAACTATATTCCACTAAAATGTGAAACATGTTATTTTAAGCAAATATAGCTTAAGCATAAGTAATTTAAACAAGTTGAATTTTAAACAAATATTTTATGATAATAAAAAATGAAATAATTTTATATTTTTAATTTATAATTTAAATAAAATATAATAATATAAACTCAATAAATATAAATAATATTGTATAACAAATATATATCTTCAAAATATTTTATTCAAAAGAATAAAAATAAACATAATAAAAATAATATATAATTACACATTTCAATAAATACACATTTTAATTCCACTTTTATTTTAAGGAGTATGGAACTTATGTAAGAATTGCAAACATATTTTTAACTTTATTTTCTTTTAGTCTCGGCTTTTCCAATTCAAGTTCCTTGTATTTTCAATTTCACAATTTCAATTGTTCTTATGAGACTTAAGCCTTTTTCAAATTAAATTTAAACTCAAAATTTTAATTCACACAAGTCCGAACATATCACGCATGACATATTAATCAACACTTGATTCAACTTTTAAAACTTTAAAGAAAACTTAAACTAACATAGCTTGTACAATGATTTTATGATTTAGAATTTTACTAATGATCTAATAGCAAAAAAATACTAAAAAACACAAGTTATACAAACGCATCATTAGTTAGGTTACTAGCATACAAACTTGATTTTATTATTTTTCTCGACAACAATTTCTATTTTCTAACATATGTGGACACCATCTATGGAATTATGATATATAAGGACTAAACATGGCATCTAATACAACATAAAAGATTATAAAATTGAAAGCTAAGTAAGAAAATTTTATGGCTACTTATACAACATATTAAGAAATTCCTAAACATAGATTCAAGAAAAGAACTGAGCAATAAATCAATTACAAGAAAATAATTAAAAACTTTATGACCGACGACATATAAATCAATTAAAGGACTCAAACAATGATATACAAGATAGAAAATCAAAGACGAGAGGAAAGATGAAGATACATATCTCTTGAAGACCTCCATGCCTAGATCCAATACCAAATTGATGGAAATATTATCCCTCATTTCACCATGGATGACGCTGAAAGTCTCACATCTTGAACATCCAAGGTGAACCAAAATTATTTCCCAAATTTCTAAAGAAATTTGTCATTATCTCTTCTAAGAATGGTTCCTTATTAGGAGAATAAAAGGAAAAAACTTTCAAAGACACTTGAAAAGTAAATTCGGGGTACAAACAAAATATGCAAGTTTCATATACAAGTTTTGACTTTATTCAAATGTGATTTAAAAAGTTACACAAATGGTCATATATATAGTTGTTCCCCTCTCATTCACTCACTTACCTAAGGAATTTGAGACTAATTTTGCCTTATACAAGTGATGACCGAAGTTCATAGCTTCAAGTCCCACCTAAACCATTTTTAGTTATATTTATGAGTTTATATACCAAAAACTTATCAAATGTTGCAATCAAGAGTTGAATCTTGGACCTTCTTGAGTGTTTAGACTGTTTTGGCCAAATTTGAGAAACTAAAATGATGTATTCCCTTTTAATTGTAGTTAAGACTTGAATCTTATCCTCTTTTTTTAAGTGTAGCCCCTTCAAGTATGATCTCCTTTAAATTTGACTTTCTTCAAGTATATAAGATAACTCTGCAAAGTTACAACCAAGACCCCATATGTTATGGTCCAGATGTCCTCCATCACCTTATCTTTTAGGTAAAGTTGGACTCACCACCCTTTTAACAAATAACAGTTCTAATACTGAGAGGGTCTCGGCCTAAAACATGTTTGACCTAATTAAATAAGGTTATCCAAACAAATTAAGCGAAAATGTACTGTATATTGATTACACGTTTATTCCATTACATATATCCTATATTATTTGAGCGTCAGAATGTCGTTGCACTCGTCTATCTTTGTCGGAGAGATTCCTGTCCAAGAGCTGGTTGAGAAGCATGTGAAGAATGCAACAACGTAAAGTAATATAAGAGGAAGGGAGGAGTAGTTCCCGGCCTTGTAACTGATATTAGGTAAACTCTAGTGATGATGCTACTAATTATAATATTGCATATCAGTACATGCATTAAAATTGATTGGTTCTAATATCGGGTTAAGCAAAAGGTTGTCGAACCATTACATTCCCCCTTTTAAATCTTTTTTTTTCTTTTGAGACTTATGCATAATGACACTGCCATTTAGGATAATTTTCTGAAAAGTATCTCTATATCAATGTGAAAAGAATATCAAAACAATTGAGCATATGTTCTTCCATTGCTCTTATGCATGTAAATTCTGGTCTTTCCTAGTTCTTGCTTGGATTTTCAGTTTGATCATCGGGAGAGTAATTCGCTTAACATCATGGATGCTAGTTGGAGTCATCTTGTTAAGGTTGTTGTGCAAGCAAATATTTACCATGTTATAAATGCCATTTAGTTTAGCTGTAATTCTATTTGCTTTACCAATACAGGGATTCCATGCATGAAGCTTAAAATTTGTATTTTTGTTGCTGTTAATCTAATTGGTAAGGATTCTATATCCTTAAGGCTTTTACCATATCTACCTAGTCTGGTCCTGATCATTCTTACTTGTAACATGGTTGTCTCTATGAATTGAATGTAATGTGGACAGTGTAGCAAAAGGTCAATTAGGTCTTACAAATTGTGAAAGTATCATCAGAGATTTATTGGATTTTGCTCTATATTTCTTAATATACATATATCTCTTCATGTTGAGCTTCTGGGTGTTATACATGTTGTGAATTATACTTTTGAGAAGGATTGATAACGGTTGTGGATTGACAATGACTTAATGTTTGTGATTTAAGCTTCTCGTAATCAGAGCATTGTTCCTTAGCAACTTATATTTCCTATGTTTACTGAAAGAATAATTACTGTGCAAATAAACTGACAGATTTTGAAATTGTTAATAGATGTAATAGATGATGCGACTATTTGTAAAATTTTATTGTATTTGATTTCTTTAGGAATAGATGACCCTGCCTTGTTATAGTTTTGCTTCTTGATTGAGTGAGTTTTGATATAATCTCTCCACTTTCTTTAGATATTTTCTTGTTATTTATGTTGTATGACAACCTTGTTAAAGTGACAAATGATTGTTATAGCTTGGAGTGCCAAACCAGTTGGGATTACATGTTATATAGAGATTTTTTGCATAACTTCTAATTTTTTATTTCTTTTAATCTAAACAAAGTTAAAGTGATATATAACAAACACCAGAATTGCTTTTTATCTCCATGGAAAAACTCATTTATACTGCAATATAAATGAAACATTCTCAGCAGGAGAACCACAAAGTGGTGAGCATAGCCAAGAAAGCAATATCTACCATTTATATAATATGGAGAATAAAATTTACAAATAACCATGTTCTAGTTATTGATATGAGTGCCTAAATTGAAGCCCAAAACAATAACCACTACTTCCTACACTCCAATCAAGTTAAAAACTTAACAAGCGAAGAACAAGATGAGGAAAACCAGAATGTTACAAAAATTGAAGGCTAATTTAGGTGGGTGGTGGTCAACTTATTCCATTCTTTCTTCTTTAATCCCGATGAATGAGCAACCATCGTTATTGCATCTGGTGAATTGTTTTTGGAAGTATGGAGTTGAATATCGTATCATTGATCTTAAAAGGAAGTGGTGGCATTTGCCTCATTACCTCTGACATGTAATTCATGCTGCAAGATAATAAGACAAAAGGTCAAATTGCAAAAATAAAATTAATGAAGACAAATGCAAAAGAGTGCTCGTAGGACATGTCATTTTGTCATATTTGTTAGCAAGACTCGTTAACAAATTCAATAAACATAAAGAGGAAACTACCATTTTAATCCCTGAAATTTTGAAGTGCAGTCATAATAGTTCTTGAAATTAGAAAATATCAAATAACCCTGAAATTGAAATTAGTTAGTCATATTAGTCTTTGCTACTAGCTTCTTTGGGGACATTCTACTTGAGAAGGTTATTTAGGGTTTTAGTACAATGTTTAAAGGCACTAATACATTGTACTTATAGATAAAGAAGATACAACAGAGAGAGCCCAAACCCTTAACCCTAGTCTAAGGAACATACACAGAGAATACAAAAAGATAGAAAAACAGTATGTCTCAACAATGTTGATAGGAAGTTACACAAATTTAAGGACTTTAATGATAGTATGTTGTACATATCAAAGACTAAAATGAGATTTCTGAGATTTATTTGACATTATTCTAACTTTAAGGACTATTATGACAGCATCTTACAACCTTAATGATTAAAATGATAGTGTACTCATGAACATAAAACATATATAAAGTGGGGAAAACAAGAGCACTTAGTTTAAACAAGTTATTAGTTTAAGGTAATAATATTTCACAACTAAAATAAGTTCGTTTTTGAAACTAATCCAACTCTGCTGAAATTATACGAACAGAATTACTCCAGGAGTTCGAATTCATTCAGGCAGAAGCCGGAAATTTTGAATCATATGCTAAATGCTATGACAATATAAGAGATTATTTATAGCTTAAACTTTTGAGAAAGGTCGCTCTAAATATAGATACAATTTACAAACACAAAGCATTTCCCTCCCTTATTACCCCTGCTGATTGAGAATTAAAAGATGAGTTACTGAATTGTTATGTTCCACTTCAGTTTTCCTGTTGAATATTGATCAAGGACATGCATTCATTCACAAACCACAATGTGAAAAGAAAATGAAATAGATCACTTAGACTAGCAACAGTTTCTAACTTTTAAACAACCAATTAACAGTTTAACTTACTCATTCAAAATTTTGATGATGTTGTCTCTCGTTTGGCTGAAAAGATTGATGTTATCCTCAAACTGGAAACAAGAGAACAGAAAAGCTGAAGGTCAGCATTACTGCGGCTAAGAATGGCTTAAGAATGCACAAGATATAAGATATATGAACCGTAAAATGAGTTTTAGAACATTAAACTATATTATGTCTATCAGAGACATTATAAAATACCCCAGCTGCAGCTATTTCTTCAATTTTTCAACATCTTAAATTAAGATAAAATGGTGTCAGGTTATTGATTAAATTTACTCATGATATCATCTAACAACAAAAACATAGAGGGGAAAAAATTTCAGATAGTAACTGAGTATATAAAAGCATTGATACATCGCCAGAGGATGATTGCCTGTGTTAAACAGAATACTTAAACTTCCCCCATTACTCAATTAGTTCACAAAGATCAATAAATCCATAGATGAACTGTCCCAACCTTTGTTTATAAAAGTCAAATTCTGGTGAAATAAGACATTACAACCTTAGTGCCTGCACTAGTACTTTTAAGTTAAATTTGTAAGAGGCTTCAAAGACAGATAGACATAAAAAGATTGCTTCAATTATTGATTGGTATTCGTATACATACTTGAAGGATACATATACTTAAAATTTTTTGAAAAAGAACCCAAGAATACACTTTATGCTCACATCTATAACATTTCTTTTTACTTTCAGAAATGCTATAATTGATCAGATATCTATGAACATAGTTTTACAGGCCTTAAGCAATCACAGGATAAACCAAAATCTCAAATAAGGTTTCTGAAGAATCTGAGATTTCTGTACCTAGAGATTAAAAAAAAAATGAAAGTAAAGAGAAGAAGCTGAGGCAAATTCTCAACTCAAAGATACTGTAAAATACCTTAAATAAGCATGTTATTTGACATCGATGAAAATGGATATAAAGGGACATTGGGGGAAATTGGGAAAAGAAAGAAATGGGTAAAAAATAATTCTACTTCGTACAAGGTTAATTCTACTTCGTACAAGGTTAATTCAGGAATAGTGTTTTAGCCTTTTAGATGAAAAGACTATTTTGCATGCATCAGGTTAAATCAATTAAAAATGTAATGAACTTACCTGAAGAACAGCAAGATTTGTAGAAATGTTATTCAAGGCCTGTGCATTTTGCTCTAAGAGCTGACCTGCAGGGCCTCCAATAGCTACAAAAAGCACAAAACAAAGATCAAAGCAGACACTTCAACATTCAAAAGGGACATGCAAATATATGAGATCTCCAAAGCAAGGGCCTACCAAGACATATATCATAGATGCAAACATCAAAATATTTACTGTTATGAAAGAAACCCACCTTTGTGACAGATGTCATCATCATTGTCCATCATCATTGCAGGAACATAAGGGGAAATGTTGGACTGGGCAGTAAAGTGAGATGGCCTCGCTGCTTGATCTGAAACCTTGGGAATAAAATCCAGATTTCCATAATGCAATTATATGCTACTTAGCTTTTGGTAACTTTTTCACTTTTTTTTCCTTAGTAATTCTTTCAAGCGAAAAATTTAGATTGTTCCTTATTTAACATTTAAAAATGAGAGAAATTACATGCTAGTTTTTTCCTGTTTGTAACACTTCACATTTATGATGCTTGACCTATTTCAAGAGCAAAGGTACAATAATAACCAGCAGTATGCAATTCCATATAGAAACAACAAAATTCATGGGAATAATGTGTACACCTGAGTAGAAAAAGACCACACAACACTAAAAGGAGATGATATCATAATGTCCATCAAATGTACAGCCAAGGACCTAGTCCATTAACAATATGATAAGTATCCAACCTCATAATACCCAAGTTCCTATCATAGCACGGCTCCTAAGAGCCAGCTTCCACTCTACCACATTTCACTCAATGCCCTGCTGCTCAAAACCTTCCACCCGTCACAACCCTCCAGAGGAGAGGCCCTTTCCGAGACTGACAATTAGATCTGATACCCATAATTGAAAAGTACACAAACACTTGGGGAACCCACCCTCAAGCTAGCTACAAAGGGTGGAGAATCAAACACTTAAATACTCCACTGGGCATCCCATACTACTCGATGTGGACTTAGGCACCCCATAATACCCAAGTAATTCCGATCACAATATTAGGATATAATAATCCTTAGTGTATAAAGGCTCATTTTCTTTCAGATTTATTATCAGTTTAGAGTAGTAAGTTTTTGAAGAGGGGTATTATATCCTTCCTTCATATAAATGTGTGGTTAAATGTGGGATGTAGGGTTGCTAAAGTAAATGCATAAAAATGATGGATGTATGGATAGGAACATGATAAAGAACCAAGAACGAGGCTTGAGGCTACAATAGGATTTGTGTATTTTTGTATTGATCGTTTGTTTCTATGTTTTTGTAATTAGAAACTCTTTTTAGATATTAGTTTCTATTAGGCTAATTGCGTAGCTTATTGGATAAGCCTAATTAATAAATGGATTAGAAGATCTATCATTTTATTATCAAAACTTGATTCTGCTAGTTCTGTACAACTTCTACAATTTCGGAAAGTAACCACAACACTTCAACTTCAGTGGTACAATTAGCATTCCAAGCGAATCACTTTCTTTGATGACTTTGATCAGATGTGAAGAAAATCTATTTGAATTGGCGCCTTAACTCATTTTGTGTGCATGGGTGACAATAGGAATCTATCAAAAAAGCAACAACAAGAAACAAAGAGATACTGTAGCATGCACAGGAAAGTGAGAGATGTTAAAAGGCATACCTGCACTGGTATGCACAAGAGTGAAAACACAAAACACCCATTTAGATAATACACTAATAATATGATATCAAATAAATGTAAGTGATACCTTTTTATCTTTAGTTTTCCTTGAAAAGTCATCCTTCCTTCGCTTGCAATTTTCCTTTTTCTGTCCAATAATGCAAACCAGACATGTTCTTAATGAGAGAAAGTAGCCACTTTGGGACTTGTTTGAAACTTTATAAAACATATTTTATTGAATATTTGAAGTAGATTATTGGATCTTTATGCTGATTAAATTGTAAATTTAACACCTTCAGGTGCATACAGCAGCTTTGAGTTCTAACAATATCCCCAAGAGGAAAGCAAACAATGTTTGCTTAAGATAAATGAGAAGAAGACCAAACAATAACAAACCAGCTCTGCCTCTGAGAAACAGTCTTTATTTTAGAAACTAAGCCTAAAACAATTCCATATTGTTTTCTTTTTCTTAAGAGTGAGATTGTTGTGACTTGCAAAAAGCTTTGTAACTGCCCAGAACCATTCTAATTGTGGAAACTTCCATCAATTATCCTTTTCTTTCGGAAAGGTAAGATGATTATCTTTAATCTTAAAACAATAATAAACATAATGAAACAAAAATAGTACTAAGTAACTTCTCTGATACAACAAATTTCACTAAGAACCCTATCTAAGCTGAAAAAACAGGTTAAGGCATTCATAATGACATAAATGATTTGTCTAACAACAACAGGTATGTAGCTTACATTCATCCACCTGACCCTCAGCGCTACATCCCGGACTGTCTTGTTATTTAGATTTATAGCTATCTTTGCATAGCGAGTGAGATTAGGTTCAGATGCAAACCTACAAGTAAAAAACAAAAGGTTTTTTCTTTAAAACAATGACTAGCTATAGAACTTATCATACACACTTACTAGTCAAGCATCAGATGTTAAAAAGCAAACAACATAAAAATGAAATCACCGAATAAGCACATAACGCAATTCAAGATTATCTGCTCACACATTAAAGCAAATACTTGTAATAACATTATCTGATTTCAAACTGCAATAACCAATCCGAAACATTAGACGCTCATAAAAATCCTTAAAAAAGAAAGAAAGGTCACACGAGGAAATACAGTTTAAAATACACTTTTAAAACTCTCAGTTTTTTTTTAACCATATTAACTTGGTCAATTTGGTAACATATGACCTGACAAACTGTGAGAAGTGTCATGTGAAACAAGGGTTTGTTAAAACATAGGACACTGAACTAAAACCAAAAAGTAAGATGAAGGACGACAAGTGTATTTAGCCAAAAATAATAATACAAGGATGCAATTACACACATGGTTTCCTTTGTCTCTCTCGTACTAAAGTTCAACAGATTTGTTCTCAACAGATTGAAATGGAACTGCTTATCAGAACCAACCCCCATATCAAATAAACCATGCAGATAACCAAGTTATTTATCAATAACATCAAAACATCCATACAGACACACTTTCAATGTCCAGAAACCAAAGGCAAACTTATATCCCCACTGAACAAAACGCTTTCAACACAAAAAATAACAAAAAGGGAAAAGCTGAAACAACAATCAATTAAAAAAAAAATATTGGTTGGTGTCATACAGAGAGAGTCCTTCTTCGAGAATGGTTTGTTCTTGAGGGGTCCAGTCGAGGGCGATACCAGAGTTGTGCTTCATGGCGAGCGCGGTGGGCGAACTGTCGGCTGCCAAATTCGCGTTGAACGGTGACGCAACATGGGTTGTCTCCTCTTCTTCGTGATTCCCAGAAGGGTTAGCCATTGAAAATTGATGCCCCTTTTTTCCTTTTCTTTCTAAAGATTCCAAGGCTGAATCTTTACACGCGAATCTTTAGCAATTGGCCAATTCCACGCAAAAGGGTATCTGAATTGACAGTTGGTTCCCGCCAATTGCCACATAACATCAAAACATATTTGAAAATGAAACAAAAATTCAAAATAGAGGGAGTGAGGGAGAGAGTGATGTTGATAATGATGGACACCTTAGAGAGCGGAAGAAGGAAGAAAAAGAATGATGCCAGAGAGAGAAAGTACTTCTATGGAAAATCAAGGACCGATTCTTTTCTGTTTTTTACCAAAGCTTGAGCTTTTGCTTGACAAAGAATAATCGAAGTATAACCTTTTTTTTTTTTTTTTTCAAAATATTTATTTGCTTAAATATGTTTTTATTTTTTCTATAAAATGATTTTATTTTTTAATAAAGTTGGACCTATAAGTATAAAACAAAAATCAAATCCTATTTGTTTTATAATCAGTAAAATCATTTTTTTTATTTAATTAAAACATAAGTCAATAGCAAATACATATAAACATTCACATATAAAAAAGCATTTTACCTTTTTTAAATTTTTATAGTACATTTTTATTAAATATTATAATATTTTATTTATACCTATGAGCACATAAATATAAATATTTAAAATAAAAGACAATGATGGATTTAATTTCTTTTTATTATTTACTAAAATTATATTAATATAATCCTTAAATATATAATATGTATGGTAAGAACTTAATTTAATAATAATAATAATAGTTAATTATGATATTATAATATTTAATTTAATCTTATAAAATTAGTCTTTTATAACATTATCATATTTTTAATGAATATGACCATTTTTGAAAAATATATTAATATTTTAATAAAAAAATAATTTAATCATAAAATATATAAAAAATAATTATTTTATAATGATCTTTAAATATTTAATTTAATATTAAAATGATGTTTAAATATTATCATTTAACATGGTAAATAAACTTGTTATTTATGCAAGTTGTGACTAAATAATAATGTAAATTTTGTTTACATAATGTTTTGAATAATCAAACGTAAACATATATTACTTTCTATATATAATCAATGGTTATTTAATTAGTCGAAATTATTAAAAATAGTTAAATTAGTTCATTTTATGTAATAATATTATAACTTTAACTTCTATTTTAGAAATAAACAAAATTAAATAATTAAAGTTTAAGATGTTACTCATAATTTAAAATGATGAAGTTTTAATCATTAAGTGTAATTTTACTTATGAAAAAGTAAGTAAGTAAATAAATACAAGTATCAAATTACATAAAAATATACAATAAATTTCTTGTGTTTAGTCATAATTTATTATTTATTTTTAGTATGCCTTTTCTATTACTTAATAAAACATGTGTTGTATATATATTTTTGAAAAACTAAATAATTTTTTTTGGTAACTAAGGATTCTAATTTTGTTATTTAAATTAAAAATTCAAAGGGGGAACAAATATTTATTATTTAAATGATTATTTTTCTTTAATGTCCTAAAAATAAAGGCAATTACTACTCTAAAATAAAAATCTTTGTACATCAATTAAATTATCTTTAAACTTCATAATTTAATTATCTGAAGTAATATTATATATATATATATATATATATATATATATATATATATATATATAATTTTCTCTTTCCCTGTTCTGTTCCTCTTCTCTCCCTTTTCTTCCTTTGCATCAAACATTGGTTTTGTTTCACATGAACTGAGCTCGTGCTTGTACTTGTACTCTTCATGGAAGTGAAACCGACAATCCTAACCGCAAACCAAAAATTCACTTATTTTTACTCTTACTGTTTGTTTAACGCTATTACAATTTCAAATTCTTCCAGTTAGGGTTTTTTTTTTTCTTCTGAATCTTACAGCACTCAAACGCAATGAATCATATTCATTTTCAATCTACACCACCGCCACCTCCTCATCCTCCGTGGTTTCCGATATTACCCTCAGAACCACCGAATTCAGCTTCCTTTTGGGAGAACAGAAATGTCTGCGATCGCCTCAGGGAGTTGCAGCACATTATCAATCTCGCAAAGGCAATGTACGTAGCGAAAATCTTTTCAAGTTACTTTATTATGATTATAAGCTTTTCTCATTGAATTTTTTTAGGATGTAATTTGATATTGTTGAATTAGTTTGGTTTTGTGCTGTGTAGGCAGAAGGAGCTGGAGATGTTGATGGTGATAAGAGATGGTAAAGAGGCTTTAGAAAATGTGAAACTTGCCACAAGTGAACCTTGCCTTTCTGGTTTTCTAAAATGTATTGAAGACAGAGGGGTTAGTGTAGAATCCCAAGAATCATTTGCTGTGGAAGCTGCAAATTCTTTGATGTCAAAGCTGAGAGCTTTGCTGGAGCCATTCCGGTACGTTGCGGATGAGGCAAGTCCATGGGAGGAGAAATCAGCTGTGGCTAAGCTTGCAAATAAATTGAACAAGTCTAAACGGAATAAACTATGGAGGAAGAAAAAGAGGAAACGGGTTGCCGAAATGATTGCAAAGGTTGTTCTGCTTTGGTTTTGTCAGGTTTCTTCTTACCCTTCATTGCAGCTGCTGTTTGAGACTGATTAATTGGTTGCTTTCCTTGTTGAAAAAATGTAGGAGCGTGAGCAATTTGAACAAATTGACCGAGAAGCCGATGAATGGGTTGCTAGGGAGAAGGCCAAGGAAATTGCTAACAGTAAGGTATTGAAATTTTTTCAAACTATACCTACTCTTATTTTGACTGACATCAGTAATTTTTTTTACCTGAGGTTGAATGAAATGTCATGCCACTATGATTTTAAATTTTTATTAAAAAGGGTTTTCAAAAAGTACATGGTTACAGTCTCAACAATGGGCGCTTAAATAGACATGAACTATTAGTTGATTATGGTAAAGTTGTCATACTTTATTATTATTATTATTATTCAGAATTATAGTGCACTCTCTGTTACTGTGTTGTTTATATGGCTATATAATTCTAGTTTCAGATTAAGAGTGGGGCTAATTGAAAGGCATTCAGTTCATGACATTTCTAATAACAAATTTGTACATATTGCTTCAAACCAATAAGCCGCCTATTTTACTGAATTGTTTCAAACTCTGTGCCGCTATGTTTTCTTTACCCTTCTCTGGAAAATAGAGAAGGGTAATCTTGATTCATTGATTTGGAAGTTGCTCACGGATATATTAGCAATTATTATGTTTGCACTGTATGTCTTATGCCGTAGGAATTTGTTTTTGCAGGTACTGAAGATGAAAGAAATTGCGAAGTCTAAAGCCAAAGAAGAGAAGAAGAAACTAGAGGCTGAGGTAACTTTCTTATTTAACAAATGACTGATAAACCATTGCTAATTTATGGTTGCTGTTAACTCTGAAGAACTTGGTCAAACATTCCATACAATACGACACATGTTATGTCTTTCACTTGAACATGTTGCACTTATTAACTACCTAAATCATATAATTTCTCCCTTTATTTTTCAAAGCACTATGTTCCTTAGCTCCTCACCATAAAATTTCCCTTTTTGTCTTGTCTTTCTATTTTGTCATTTTGTGTCTGCCAAAAGGTTCATGGCTTTTGTTTTTGGTATGTATGTCTTAAGAAATAAGCATATGCGTGCCTTTCATCTGTCCGTATGTTTATTTTTATCATGTCATTTATTTTTATCCCTCATCATTTTCTCTTAATTGATTTTCTTACATTGTTTTACACCACAGCTTGAGCTGCTCTTGGTGGTGGAGAAGCTTCAGGAGTTGCGCTCCATAAGAATACAAAGGTTGAAAAAACAAGGTATTTATAGGAAAATCACTCTGCTTCTAGTTATCTTTGTTATGAACTTATGATCAAGGTTATCGGAATCGAGAGTCTACGTTGACTTGTGAGAGCTTCGTAGACTCGACTCATAAACCCGACTCGTAGACTCGTAAGAGTCTACTTCATATGAAAAATTCTATATAATAATATAAATTCAGAATTTCATCATCAAAATTAATGAAAATAAAAAACAATAGTTCAATAATTCTAAAATAACTTGGTTCAACACACATGATTGTTATATAAGTTCAAATTACACCAAATACATAAGTTAATACAAATCACCAAAACATAAATAACTTCAACTTTCTAGCTCCAATCCTCTAATTATATCATCTCCAACATCATCATCTTTTTCATCTTCATCATCATCTTCTCCATCACCATCAACCTCTTCCTCGGATGATAAGAGTGCATCATCAACATTGGCATCAAACACTATATTATCAAGATCAATTGGTTCTAAAGTAGGATCAACTGAACTTATTTCAGCTATGTCAACATTTTTCTCATCACCTTCACCTTGAACTGGCTCAATTCCAACATTATCACCATCTTCTGTTATCCATTCATCATCAGACTCAATATAGTCAAATGGGAGAGCAACTGTTTTCCTATTTTGTTTATTTTTGAGCTTCAAGTTGTACATGACATAAACCAAGTCATTCATCTTTTTCTGGTGCAAACGGTTTCTTCTTTTTGTGTGAACCTATAAATAAATATGAATGTTTAAATACAAAAAATTAAAAACAAATAATAACTTAACAAATTTGACTTACCATTTCAAATGAGCTCCAATTACGCTCACACCCATAAGAACTACAAGTTAAGTTCAAAACTCGAATAGCAAATCGCTTCAACTCTGGAGTTCCATCTCCAAACATTTCCCACCATTCTCCAGGAAGCATAACTTTCCTACAATCTTTAGCATTTTCCATTGAGAAAAGTCCTTTTGCAAAATGAAACTCTAGAAGTTGTAAATTAATTTTTTTCCTTTCTGCAACATCCTTGACCAATCTTTCATGCATTCATACAACCCTTCTTTTACCTCCACATCATCATTTCTAAAATTAGGTTCATAGTGCATGTGAGGGTTAAGGTAATATGCAGCCGCATGCAAAGGTCTATGAAGTTGATTATTCCACCTCTCATCAATTATGTTCCAAACAGGTTCATAACTACAATGATGCAATCATGCAATGTTAGAAATAATTACACAAAATAAAGAATGAAAATCTGAAAAGAGAAAGTTTATAAATTTTACCTTTTCTTAATATTATTAAAGTTAAATTTGATCTTCTCTTTGGCAGAATCCATTTCTTCATAAATGAAACCCATTGCGGGTTTTATATCTGAATCCACTAATCGAAGGACCACCATAAAAGGGGCAACAACTTTGAGACAAGTGGTTACATTCTTCCAGAACCGACTATCTAATACCACATGCTCAATTTTTCTCCGTTCCATTGAAGTTCCAAATTTGCTTGATTTCCACTCATCAGAGCTAAAGAAGCTCATCAATGATGCTTTCAATTCATGAAGACATGCAAGAGTTAGATAAGATGTGGCAAATCTAGTCATACCTGCCTTATCAAGTCTCTACCTTTGGTAAACTTCTTTAACATGCTAATTAGCATTGCTCTACCATAAATGTAGGTAGTGATTCTTCTTCTCTTCTTGATAGTAGTTTGATGGACCTTCAAATGTTTTTCAAAATCTTCAAAAATCAAATCAATGCAATGGGCAGCACATGGGGTCCAATACAAATGCTCTCGTTTTTGCATCAATAACTCTCCAGCTGCCTTGAAATTTGCAGCATTATCGGTAACCACTTGAACCACATTCTCCTCTCCAACAAATTCCACTACATCATCCAACATCTTAAACACTTTATCTGCAGTTTTTGAGATATTTGATGTATCCAATGAGTAAAGAAACACAGTCCCTTTAGGACTATTGACTAGAAAGTTACAAATAAAACATCTTTTTTTGTCAGTCCACCCATCAGACATGATTGTGCAACCTGTTCTTTTCCACTCCTCCTTATATTCTTCAAGGATTACATCAGTTTTTTGCACTGCTTGTTTCAAAAGTTTTTCTCTAATATGATGATATGATGGGGGTTTGTAACCAACTCCATATCTTCCAATCATCTCACACATTTTTGCAAAAGCAGGATTTCTAATAACATTGAATGGAATGGCACTTGTGTAAAAAAATTCCGCCACTTGAGCATCAACTTTTTCTTTATCCCCTTTCTTATACAGTTGATTTAAAGTAGATTGAACACCTTGACTGAATTTGTCCTTTCCTTTATTTTTGAACATCATACTACTACTACTTTGAGTGGTATCCACCTCTTGAATGTGCTCATCATCATACTCATCAATTATATTCCGTCTCCTTTTCTTTTCTGAAACATCTTTAGCCTCTGCCACAACTTTCATCATTACAACTTTCACTTCTTCTGGAACTGAGTCACATGGTTCAGAATCATATCTAGTACCAGCAAGATGATGTTTGAATCTGAAAACTCCTCCATTGATTATTTTTGAGCAATAATTACATTTAACTTTTTTTCCATTACCCGAAACATCTGTTCCGTGTTTCCATCCAATGTCGGTCCGGTTTCCTAAAGCATTTTTACTTCTAGGTCTAGGTAGTGAAGATACATTAACATTGAAATCACAAGAATTTGAAGCAGTCCCACTTCCGGACATTGCAAATCAGTCTCGATTAACTAAAAATAAAATAATTTATTTTTTTAGAACAACTATAAAAAACAACTAAAATAAAAGATAAAATATGCAACAAAAAATAAATTCAATAAATAAAACAGAGAATAAATTATATAAATACTACCTATTCAATAAATAAATAAATAAATAAAAAATATAAAAAAATTTACCGACTAGATTTTTGCTAATGAATAAAAAAAAGTTTCGGTTCAGAAAAATGCATTGCATTTTAGAGAAATGCAACGCACATCCTCACACTCACTTACGCACTACCTGCGAGGCGAGGCGACGGGAGCTGCTACGCGAGGCGACGGGAGCTGCGACGCGAGGCGATTGGAGGTGCGACGCCACTGAGCTGCGGGGGCGAAAACGCGACGCGATGCGATGACGTGAAGCTGCGAGGGCTGAGCTGCGGGGGGCGAAAACGCGACGTGACGCGATGCCGCAGAGCTGCGAGGGCTGAGCTGCAGGGCAATGACGCGATGCGACGCGACCAGAACTCAACGCGCGACACCAGAGCTGCGGGGGCGACGGAGGTCAGATCTAGGTTTTCATCTTTGATTTTCTCTTCTTCGATTAGGGTTTTTGATTTGGGTTTCAATCTTTAATTTCGTTTAGGTTTTCGATTTGGGTGGTTAGGGCTTTTGTTTGGGTTTAAAATCGAAATGGTAACGACATTTTTGTTTGTCGTTTCGTCCTCCCTACGAACTCGGTGACTCGCTCTTAAACTCGCGAGTCTATTCCGAGTCAGCAAGTTTATTCCGAGTTCACTCCGAGTCAAACAAAAAACGAGTTTATATGCGAGTTAACCCGTAAACAATAGCTTGTTTCGCTGACTTGTATGGGTGTACGAGTCAACCCGCGAGTTTGATAACCATGCTTATGATTATTATAGTGCAAATTATTACTGTCTCCTTGTCAGTCTGCTTGTTTTCGTTTTCTCTATCTTTGCTGCCATATATCATTTGAACTTATTATATTAATTTATTTCCTTCACAGTCCTGAATCCAGGTCTATGACTGATTGATTGCTCATATTTATAAATTGTGTGCTTGAGTTCAAGCTCTGATACTTAACATTTTGAGTCTGAATAAATGTATCATGAGAAATATATAATTAAAACATTTTTTAATTAACAAATTGAAACCATACATTCTTAATTTGGTGATATAATAGAATTTGTTTTAATTACTTTTCTAATTGGAAAAATTCGCAATATTCACATTTTATGCATGCAAGAGTTTCTGATATTCACATATTTAACATTTAATTTCTTTATGGTTCTTTACGAATGATCAGGCCATTTTCTCCCAGAGGAGGATGACAAGTTTCTTGAGAGAGTTCAAGCTGCAGTGGAAGAAGAGGAACGTGAAGCTTTGGCTGCAGTTGAAGCAGATGCTGCTAAAGATGCAATTGCAACTGCTGAGGAATCCAGGAAAGCTATTCAGAATCAAGGGAATGATAGCGAAGTAAAGGAGAGCAAAGACAAAATAGTTCCAAGTGTGACTGAAGAGGGATCTGGTGCAGTTGATGAGAATAAATCCAGTAAAATAGGACAGACCAGTGGAGGAGCATACGATCCTTTGGCAAATTTACCCATTGAGTTTTACCATTATTATCATGGAAGCAACAATGATATGGGTACACTTATTGAGGTACACTCAACTATTTTTGTTATTAACTTTTACCTGTTTTGCACAACAGCACTTTTTTTTTTCCTTAGAATAATACGTAATTAGTTTTCTGTGTTTGATGACTGCTAGTTTTACTTGACTGGTACACTAATAGCCTAATGATGCTACATTTTTCAATTATCACCTTATATTTAATTCATTTGCTTGTTCATTATAATTTTTTTATTGTTAATGTTAAGGCTGCTTTACAATATCATACAGGTTAGAAGAGGGTGGGATGCCTATATCAGACCAGGAGGAAGGTAAGAAATGAGAATGTTGAAACTTTTCTGCCAATACTTAATTTTTTAGGTTGGTCTGGTATTCTCTTAAAAAAATGGGGTGACCATTAAGGGGTATTTTACTTAGATCTCAATGTCCAATGTAATTTTACATATAAATCTCTTATTGATGAATATTTTACCTCATTTCTTAAGGGCGGACCACAGTTGCTTTTAAGTGAAATATGTTTCTGTTTTAGGCATATCTATGATTATATTTCAAAACTGAGTTAAGAGAGAGAATATCGGGTGTTAAAGTCCTTAAAATATATTAATGAGAGGTCAAGACTGTGACTAAAGTCACCAAACTCACCTGCACCTTTTATAACACTAATGATCTGAACACACTATATCTATATAGCACAATCTGTTCCACTGTTCTTACTACACATGTTAGTGCTGTAGTTACGATTAAAAATTATTTTGACAGTTGCTTTCGCATATATTACTTCACATGTTAGTGCAAGTTTATTGGTGGGTTAGTGTCAAATATGTATGCATCGCAATCAATGTGTATGAAAAATGAAAATAAATTATTTATCTCTTTTTATGTTTTTTCCTTGCATCCAGCCGCATACCAGGGCACTGGGTTCAGCCTTCTCCTCCAGCTAATGAGATATGGGCATCTTACTTGGTGAGGCCTAAGTGATTAGTTCACAAATCAACAGTTTTGCACAAAGATGTTGTCCACTGATACGGTACGTTTTGAAGGTTTGAACTATGTACCTGGCCAACCTCAGCTATAAGCTTTATGGCAGCATGTTTATATTTGTTAAGGATCGAACATAAAATCAATTGGCAATATGTGGAGTAGCCTAACATGTATTTAAACCATACCAAATGACATGAGGTAGACGATGTGAGACTTTTAACACATCCTCTCCAACGAAGTCTGCCGGACCAGACAAAGAGTATTTTTGACCCAATTAAAGGGCAACTTTTGGCCCATGACAATAATCGGAAAGATGTTAGGCTTTGGCTCTGATACCATGTTAAGGTTCCAACATAAAACCAATTGACAATACATGGAGTAATCTAACATGTATTTAAACCATACCAAATGATATGAGGTAGGCGATGTGAGATTTTTAACAATATTATTAACTTGTTAATCCTGTATTGAGTTCAGGTGTTGATAAACCTTATTATTGAATGTACATGAAGATAAAGGGAAAAAAATGACTTGGACTCACTTTTTCTAAAAATAACTAAAGGGATTTACAATGAAAGGAAAGCTGTACAAGACTAATCAATTTACTGTCAAATTTAATTTTATGGTTAAAAGGTATAATATGCTTTCAGAAACCCTTGTTTTTAGTTACAATACAATCTAATCGTGAGATGAAGTGGAAGTCCTGGACTTCTTTGTTTGGTAGGGCTGAAACATAATGAAAATAGTGCAGAGGTTTAGAAACTCAAATTATGGCTAAGAAAATACAAAAGATGAGGAGAGAGTAGGCAATATTTTCGTTTCCTGAACCCTTTCATGAGGTTTTGATTAATTGTGTTAATAGCCAATTTTTGTTTTCTGAAAATCGATTCTCAAAAAATCATTATAGATTTTTACTCAATTGAACTTGAGATAATCGGTTCATTGTCCGATAATCAATTGTGTAAACACAATAGGTGCACACTTGGATTAGGGTTGATTAAAGTTAAAGGTTAATTTATGATCTATATTGTAACTGAAATTATTTTGAATAATTATCTTTTTTTACTTTTAAAATGTAATATATGAGACTTAAAGTTAAATAATAAACTATTACTTGGACTTTATACTCTTATCATAATAATTGATTGTGATTATTTTCTTTTTTTCATTTTAAAAAGGTTATCACATAATAAAGAACACTACTTTAAATACATATTTTATTATTGATTAAAATTTATTGAAAATAATAAATTTTAGTGTTTTGACCACACATTTATAATTTTTAATCATTTGCATGTTGGGAATATTATAAATATGAAGGATCCATTAATTTGTTGATGACTAATTTTGGTTATCATACTTAAGTCCAATGCCACTTGGATTAATGAGTTGTTGGTACTACCAGTCTGGGTTATTAAGAAAAAAACAATGAAGAATGGAAACATGGGTTATATTGTTGTTGATGATTTTATTGATTTTCATTTTCTTTATGGGGATGGATTTTCCTTTTTATTAGTCTCTAAAGCTAAATTCATACAACGTGATTTGTGTTTTAATGTAAAAATTGTAATTAATATTAATTTAATTTTATATTTAAATTACTTTCAACAATTCAAATTTATAATAGATGGATAAGGTATCCTTCATATTTAAACAGTGTATTGCATGTTGGGTTGATTACATGTATGTTTAATTTTAAATATTTTTTTTAAGATGTTTTAATATATTGCGAACCTTTGTTATTAATGAGATACAGATTTAGTATGATAACTATGTCAAAAGTTTAGTGAAGACCGGATAAATAGTTGAATTTAATATATATATATATATATTTAGAGAATAAAATATAATAAAATAACAACTAATTAAAAAATAAAGATTTTTGTTAAATATTTATTTTTAGGGTAGCCAAATCGATAAAAAGATTACATCATATTAGAAGAGCAGTTAATGCCTTAATCGTAAACAAGTGAATCATACAATATATTCATATAAAAAAATTGGATGTGGCTCAAAATATCTTATGTTAGGATTGCAACATGAAATAGTTTAAAATTCATCATATTTTGCTTTTCACCTCCACTTACGGAATAAAAGGGAAAACAAAAATCACCCAAGACAATGAAATCAACTAAAATATATTATCATCATAACCCTAAACCATAAATAACCTCACTTTCTCTAATTAAATAACTTCCCATGAAAACTACCTTTTTACATAAACAATTATAAGATTTTTTTTATGTTGCATATGAACCTTCTCACGTTATGGTACACAGTTAGTGCATAATTAACAAAATCATGCAAAACACTTCATTTTTGTGGTTGAAAACCAGAAAAAAACAAAAAAACATTTTATTACATATTTAAATTTCATCCAAAGAGGAATATGACTTCTCCAAACCCTTTATGGATATTCTTTTATATATTTATATATATAATACTAAATTTCTTTCATAATATCTGCTGTAATTTTCTTTTTCTGGTTTAAAAAAAAGTATTATTTCCATTGTAATTACAACAAATTGTTCAATAAACAGCGGAGATGATAAGATCGTATTTTTTTTATTATTATTTGGTATACACATCTTTATAGAATGATAATAAGGATATCATTTTTTTTTCTGAAAATAAATAAATATATATAATGCCCTCAAACTAAATAAAGCTTTTAAACAAATGATTAAGTTGAAAATCTACATTTGATGCAAGTTTTAGTCTTAATTAAGAAAATATAAATAATTACATTATAATATACATTGCGAACAATTTTTTTACTTGCTGACATAAATAGATATATTTACATTTATCCAACTTTAAAAAAAATTAATCGATTTACAAATTCTTTTTATCCTTAGACTTTTTTTTAGTGATCAAATGAATTACTTTTATATTCTAACAAATTTCTACTTTAGTAAATTAAAAATAAAAATAAAAGTTACTTCTGTTAATAATTTTAATTTTAATATATTAATGTTACTTTAACTCTTTTGATGCATAGATTAATTTTAAGAAAGTCTGTAACGAAACTAGTAAACAACCACAAATTTTCCAGCTAAGTATTACAGAGAATTCATAACATAATCGTATAGCAAAAATTATGTATTTAGTAAATATTTAATTAAAATATTTCGCAATCTGATTTTATTAAATTATACTCTATTTATAAGTTTTACTGTAAGATCTATTTAAATAATATGGAAAAATTATTATAAAATGGAAAATTATTTTCATAAATTTCATGTAAAATATTTTAAATATATAATTATATTCACACGGTTACAATTTTTTAACTCCATTAAAAAGTGTGATGTGTGCTAATAAAACATTTTATTTCGAGCTTTTGTAGGAAATTTAATGGGTAAGGTATAATTTTGCTTATAACTTTCTCTACATATTTATATATTTATGAAACTATGAAACCAAAAAAAATAATCAATATTTTTTTTACGAGGTTGTTAAGGTAAGAATAAAAAATTTCTAAAACTTCTAACAAAAATAGTGACATTTTTAACAAATATTAAGATATTTTACAAGGATTAAGAAAATTATTTTATAAAAATACGTCACGTCTTCGTATGTCATGACAACAAGTTTTTAACAAAATAAAAAAAAATTGAACTAAAAGAACATATTTATATTTTGTCTAATAAGAAAAAAATTTATAATAACTATTTTAATCTGATTAATGAAGGATTAAATTTGAGAACATAATATTTTTGTGAAAAGTTGTGAATAATACTCTAAGATTCTTTCAGTCTTTGTGGCGTAACATCTCTTCCAATCATTAACGCATAAGATGGATTGCAATATCAGAAAAACTATACGAATTCTATTTGTTTGGTCCCTTAAAAAAATCACTAATCTTTTTTTAGATTATCATTAATAAATAATTAAAAATAAAAAATATCTATGTAAAAATTAAAAATTAAAAATTATAAATATATATGTTCCATCTTACATCCATAAAAATTAAAGTTAAAAATAATTTATATATTTTCTTATTTTTTATTTTTTTTAAAGACAAAATCGTTTCGTGAGCTATAAAATAAATAATTATAAGATTTAATAAAATATAAAATATAAAATATATTTAATAAAGATTAAATTAAAAAAAATATATAAAACTTTTAAAAGATGATTATTCAACTCAATTCGTTAATCAAAATAATTTTTTGGGTTGAAATATATAATCAAATCCAATCCACTCTTTTGAATCAGATATAATTCAATTACAGATTTTTATAAACAATTTTTTAATTTTAAAATATTGTAATAATTTTTTGAAATAATTTTATTAAAATAATTACATTATACAAAATATTTGAATAATTTAGTATTTTAAAAATATATAATTATTATTATAATAATTATAGTATTATTATTTATTAATTTTGGCTACTAATTGGATTTTATCTATTAATAAAAAAAGATGTCCAAATCCTCAAAATGTACAATTTTCCTCTAAGCCCTTATAATATTTTTAAGAGAGAAAGATTTACCCTTAGATTTATCTTTTGATTCATCTTTACTAAAAATCCCTCCAAGCTAACGGAGAACGAGATTGATCGAATTTGGAGTTTGGTTAGACACCCAACTAGTCAAGGATTCAGACTCCTACAAGGTCATTGAAGAATTATGTTACAGAATGACTGGAACTCTCAAAGACTCATATCATAAGCTCAGAGTTGTCCGGCATAACCAGTTTCATGAATTGGGACAAATCTTAGCAGTACTCAGAGTCTTACATGAAGAATTTATAGGGAATGACTCGATAATCAACAAGAAGCTCAAGCAAAAGTTCTTCGAAATGAGATGTTGCTAAGTCAAGATCAAAGACCTAAAGAAACACTATCAGCGAATGAGCAAAAGATTCTACCATCCCAATGGACTCAATGATCCTAGCCTGAAGAACACTTATATCGCATCCTTTCCTGCTGAGTTACAACCAGAACTGAATAGGATGACAATGGCTATCTAGAAGGACTTCACCACCT